TATTGACATATTGTTAGGGATGCTGACAATGACGTTAATATTGACATGGTGTTAGGGATGCTGACTGAGATACAGCTATATATTGACAAATGTGGATGCAATTTTGTTTCATCGTGATAGAGGAGTGAGTGAGTTTAGTTTTACGCCACACTCAGCAATACCCCAGCTATATGGCGGCGGTCTGTAAATAATCGAGTCTGGACCAGACAATCCAGTGATCAACAGCATGAGCATCGATCTGCGCAATTGGGAACCGATGACATGTGTCAACCAAGTCAGCGAAACTGACCACCCGATCCCGTTAGTCGCCTCTTACGACAAGCATAGTCACGTTTTATGGCAAGCACATGGGCTGCTGAAGACCTATTCTACCCCGGATCTTCACGGGTCCGTGATAGAGGATACCTTGCAGATGATGCCACCTCCTCAGAAATGTATTTTGTTTGCATAAACCTATTTTCTTATGTTATTCCATCTCTCTGCTGAGCTGTCGTAATAGATTTTGAGCCTTGACGAATACATAGTTTGTTTAATTACCTTCCAGTAAATATGAAAGCTGAACTCAGGACACACAGCCTCTTTACCACTTTTTGTCAGAATATATTCTGTTGACACCCTCATAAGGCCAGAAGAGTGTCCTCTTGTGTACAAACTCTTGTGAAACGACAAGACTGATACGACAGATAAATCATGACAATAATTCAAATGACACAAGCACGCGAACCAAATATGTAACAGTTACAAAGGGAAGTAACTCTCAAATCCTCGGTGTTAAGCATGTCGATATCTATATATAGTCAGCGCCATTACCATGCTTACTCGTCACTTCAAAGAATTATTTCGTTGAACTGATAAAGTGGAATATTATTTTTAATCAAAGACACCCAAAATGTCCACGTACACTCATAGCTGCGGAACTGACATGCTCAAATTGAACACGCATCAATCTTATTTTCCGAACTTCCTTCTCTGAGTCTTTTTGATTTCTTTGGTTTATGACTCGAACTTGACATTTATCAACACGAGACCTGGTTGAAGCAGGTACATGTCTATTAATTCCACCAGCCGTCTCCACTTCCCTTCCCCCACAGGCCTCCCTTAGACCCCCTGGACCAGTGGAGAACTCCAAACACAGTCACACAATCAGGGGCATGATGGTTACTGGTCCGTGGAGCTGGCGGGACTGGTTTGGAAATTGAATCCTTTATGAAGTGTCTGGAGGTGTTATGAAAGGTGTAATGGGTACCTAGCGATGTGACCGTAACATCAGTGTGTTTCCATTACTGATTGTCTTCAACTATCGGCTGTTTCGGGAGGACAGATCTACATGTCATCGATCAACTGCAAAGATTGCTGTGTTTGCTTCACTGCTTAGTTTTACCTTGGGGAAAGGATGAAACACAATACTGGTCCGTGTTGTAGAATTAAAGAGTCTGTATGATAATAGAACACAGATATAATTTCAAAGGACTTGTTCTCTGTGATCAATAGGCATACATTGATCGATATCCCTATTTATTAGAATCTGAAGTTACGTTCGGGCGGGCATCAATGATGTATGGACCGTTAGAGTGAGTGAGTGAATGAGTTTTGTTTTACGCCGCACTCAGCAATATGCCAGCTATATGGCGGCAGTCTGTAAATAATCGAGTCTGGACCAGACAATCCAGTGATCAACAGCATGAGCATCGATCTGCGCAATTGGGAACCGATGACATGTCAACCAAGTCAGCGAGCCTGACCACCCGATCCCGTTAGTCGCCTCTTACGACAAGCATGGGTTACTGAAGGCCAATATTCTAACGCGGACCTTCACGGGTTTCTTCCGTTAGATACGAAGCGAGTGTGATGTAAAATCACTAATTCTGGAGTTCTGTAATGGTACTCCCGTGTTTGTGTCATACAGCGTAATGTTGTGTTTGTGAATAGCTGTGTAATGTTGTGTTTGTGAATAGTTGTGTAATGTTGTGTTTGTGAATAGCTGTGTAATGTTGTTTGTGAATAGCTGTGTAATGTTGTGTGTGTGAATAGTTGTGTAATGTTGTGTTTGTGAATAGTTGTGTAACGTTGCGTTTGTGAATAGTTGTGTTTGTGAATAGTTGTGTAACGTTGCGTTTGTGAATAGTTGTGTAACGTTGCGTTTGTGAATAGTTGTGTAATGTTGCGTTTGTGAATAGTTGTGTAACGTTGCGTTTGTGAATAGTTGTGTAATGTAATGTTGCGTTTGTGAATAGTTGTGTAACCTTGCGTTTGTGAATAGTTGTGTAACCTTGCGTTTGTGAATAGTTGTGTCATGTTGCGTTTGTGAATAGTTGTGTAATGTTGCGTTTGTGAATAGTTGTGTAACCTTGCGTTTGTGAATAGTTGTGTAACGTTGCGTTTGTGAATAGTTGTGTAATATTGCGTTTGTGAATAGTTGTGTAACGTTGCGTTTGTGAATAGTTGTGTAACGTTGCGTTTGTGAATAGTTGTGTAATGTTGCGTTTGTGAATAGTTGTGTAACGTTGCGTTTGTGAATAGCTGTGTAATGTGTTTGTGAATAGTTGTGTAATGTTGCGTTTGTGAATAGTTGTGTAACGTTGCGTTTGTGAATAGTTGTGTTTGTGAATAGTTGTGTAACGTTGCGTTTGTAGAATAGTTGTGTTTGTGAATAGTTGTGTTGCGTTTGTGAATAGTTGTGTAATGTTGTGTTTGTGAATAGTTGTGTAATGTTGTGTTTGTGAATAGTTGTGTTTGTGAATAGTTGTGTAATGTTGTGTTTGTGAATAGTTGTGTAACGTTGTGTTTGTGAATAGTTGTGTAACGTTGCGTTTGTGAATAGTTGTGTTTGTGAATAGTTGTGTAATGTTGTGTTTGTGAATAGTTGTGTAACGTTGTGTTTGTGAATAGTTGTGTAATGTTGTGTTTGTGAATAGTTGTGTAATGTTGTGTTTGTGAATAGCTGTGTTATATTTGAACGTAGCAACTACAAGAGGTATAGATATTTAATTAATGCCGGTTTGGTGGGTAAAAAAGAACGCATTACCTTTAAAGAGATCATTTTCCGAGAGAACAGCAGAAATGTTTAATATGGACAGAATATGTACTGGATATAAAACAGTGAATATCAAAATTGTCTGATTTACGGAATCAGTTCCAGACCTTAGAAGCCGACATGCATATGGTTATAACTCGGGGAATCACCTGCCACAGGTGATAGGTCGTTTGTTTTAAGGATTACTAAAAGTATCCATCGGAGATTCTGAAGCAGATGCTGTTCCGATGACCTCTGTCCTTCCGTTGTATACCTGATGGAGTCAGCAAAAATGGTTAACTCGTACGAATGTAATAACGGACGTACGCAGTTCTGAAGCATTGTAGTGAATACATCAAGCGTAGCACTTAACAACACTTGCAGTTATTGGGTTTCATTTGTCACTATAAACTGTAATAATATACATCTGGCGCGTACGATTCAGGGGTTGTTTCCATGTATGCGCATGACTGGATATCACTGTACCCAGAATAGGTGCAAATTTCCAATCATCACATGATTTTATATTTACAAGTGAAATTGCCAACAGTCTGAATACTATGTTAGATGTATGTTTTCAAAAGAGGTATATCATGATGTATGTAAGCGGTATAATGAAGGTAGTGTATATTAAACAGGCAAGTGATCTGTATGCCCTATTGTGTTTTGAAGGAACTAGTTTTTAAGCTGACATCAGTCCAAGCTGAGCTTACTTGTGTTCGTGTTTTAAGTATGATAAACGGATAATGACAAGTGAGAACTCTGGAAATGTGACTGTTTTGACCTCTGTCGTGAACGCTGACAACGACACTCACTACGACATGTTCCACTCCACGACAATTTTCTTCTCCCCGCGAGGGGACACGGTAAGATTTGCTCCTGGTATCACCTGATGTGTGTGTGGGGACTCCTAGTGGGGACCTGGAGCGGAGATCATTTGTGGAGCGGAACACTTGCTAGGTAGAACATGCATCTTGGAGAAATAAACGTTCAGCATGATTTCAACTACTTGGTGATTTTTGCTGTTTGAAAAGTAAATATGTCGTTTCATAGATTGTTATTCTCTCCATCAACCGTTGGCTTAGCTGGTCCGGGGTGTTATCACATAAAAGCTATGTTGATGTAGTCATGTGCTTTGTTTTAGGCATAATTTTAGGGTTAATTTCATGGACCGAGGTAGCAATGTAGGTACAGTTCTGAAACTAAATAACACGCAGGTACATCTGCGGAGACGCGACATTTGTGTCTGATATCAATACCTATGTCAAGGTTAAGTAGATCTTATGGTATGGTGCAGTGTCTACACAGATCGCCTATAGCGTTTATTGAATGGCTTTGCACAAAACAGTGAGCCTCACTGTGGCGGCCCTCCACCCCGGTGAGGACAGAGCGTGTGAACACTTGTATGTCTGCTCGACCAGGTAGACGCAGCTCACAAAGGGCTACACCTGATGTACTCCAGGCGGCTAGATGTATGCATGTATGTAGACAAGGCCGTGTGAACGTTGCTATCGAGTGATGAAGCCTGATCCCGGCACCTCTGATGTGGAGGTAGGTTAATGCCTGCTAGGTTATTTACGGACTTTCAGCGGTGCATAATGTTGAGGTATCTATTTTTTACCCTTTTTATATCAGTTTGTGACCGTTAACACCTTTCTGTTATAAAAAGGCAGCCATTGTTGTTGGTTTTTATCATTATACAAGTTGTTCATTCTCAAGGATCATTCTCTCTCTCTCTCTCTCTCTCTCTCTCTCTCTCTCTCTCTCTCTCTCTCTCTCTCTCTCTCTCTCTCTCTCTCTCTCTCTCTCTCTCTCTCTCTCTCTCTCTCTCTCTCTCTCTCTCTCTCTCTCTCTCTCTCTCTCTCTCTCTCTCTCTCTCTCTCTCTCTCTCTCTACGGAACTGAACAATCCCAGTGATCACCGAGAATATGCGATATGTTTTGTAGTAATTCAGAAGTCATTGTTAAATATTTGGTTGTTTTTTCAGGACCGCAGCAAGATGGAGCGGCTGCGGCCGGAGCGGCGTCCACGACAGCGTGTTCAGAAAGTATGGCGTAGTGTGTGCTGGGCAGACTCCTTCTCCGACGAGTCCCTCGTCATGGACACAATCGACATCACCGCCGACTTCGCGCTCCGGAAGATCGCCACGCTGTTCGAGAACCGGAAGTATGAGGAGTGTGCCTCCCTGATCCGCCGTCTCAACCACCTGATGGTGAAGGCTATCCTGAAGGAGGTGCCTATTGATGTTATTCACGAGGCTCTGCCCTACAGTGCGTGTATTCTCGAGGCGCTGTACGTCAAGGTATATCAGACCTATGCAGAGCGCTTCCCGATGGCCGAGATGCACTTGGAACAGTTGGTCAAGCGGATGGTGTGCATCTTCGCGAAGCAGTACAGCGCCAACAAGGGAGATAAGAACTCAAACATGTTCCTGCCGTCTTTCAGAACGGTGCTACGGATCATACTGTCTGTGCAACCCGACTTCCGCCACCAGATGTTCCTCAAGAAGAAGAGCATTGATCAGTGCCTGCTACGTCTTGGCCACCACGGCATGGTAGACAGTTCAGGCGGCAGACTCATGAGCCTCCACGATGCACTTAAAGTTGAGTTCGAGAAGGTTGTGACACAGTATAAATCTGCTATACAGAAGATGGACGATCTGAGCCTATCAGCTAAACATCCCACCAGTAGTTCTGTGACGTCCGGCAAAGCGCCTACAAACGCCAGTCACCAGCGACTAATGCAGGTGACCCGATCTGACGTCCAGAACCGCCTCATCAAGAACAAGACTCTGTTGAACGTTGTGGAACCATCAATTACCAGCCAGTACTTGAAACATTTGATCACGGTGCTGCAGAAAAGGATCGAATACGACAAGTATATGCTATTTCACGACACAGAGCTGCGGAAGATGACCGGCATCGTGGACGACGACATCTACCTCTCCGTCACTCTACGTCAGTTCTCACAGGGATATGCTGCCATGCTGCAGGTGCTAAGAGAGATAACTGGCGATGACTATGTCCCGGAGGGGCATGGTAATGGCAGCCACAGCCCAAGCGAGGAGGATAATCTAGAGAGACGTAGTACGTCAACAGTCAATGGCAAGACTGAACCGGGGCATGGCAGTGGGAAAACATTAAACTCAGGTAAGACATTACTATGATAGTACGTTGTTTGCTTGAAAAAAATCAATGTGTGATAATGTTATACGAATTGGGTTTTTTTGTGCGTAACTTTGGCCACATTTACACATTACGTAAGGTGGTCTGTGCTCGTCTGTGTTCTTAAGTTACGTTCATTAATCAGAAGGCATACAATGATCTCATAAAATATGAAATCATCTACGAAAGCTGGAACATATTTAATTTTGGTTTTTGAACATATGAACACTGAGCTTGGATCATCATCAATATCCCTTCGCAAACCCACAAACCGTCACATAGTTCTTGTTCATAGCCATGGAATTGTGATCTTCGAATTGGCTAGAGTGTGCATATGTGTTATCCAGTTGAGGAAGCACCGCAAACACATTATGTTTCTAGATAAGCTTTAGTATGTGTGATCAGACCTTGTGATCTGTGTACGCATCTAGCAGCAGGTAGTGTTAGGACTGGAGCTTCCCCATTAGTTGCGACACAAACAGTGCTACCTTCACACACAGGGGGTGCATTTTACAGCTGAGTGCGTCACCTTGTCTTGGCCCCGTCATAATTTAGTAACTGTATCTTCTCATGATTACCTGTGTTAGGCTGACATGAAATACTCTGGTAGAACATGCCCAGGCACATACTCTTTGCCTGCTTGGGGTTGTCTGGCTTGCCACGACATCCACAGGGACGACCCAAGAGGCCCGGGAATGGCGTCATTGTGCGCTGTGCTGTCTGGTCAGAAAAGGAAGTTCAGTGTTGGTATGTCACGTGTGTGTCTAACATATATAGTGGAGATTTATGTAGGTATTTTCAAACTGTAACGGCTTTCGTTATATTCTCTTCTCTCATCAATCATCTGTCTCGTCAATCTTCCAACCGATCAAGTCACGCTATACACAGCTATTGTGGTCTCCGACTCTCCGCCGGCTGTAATGCATTATACATGTAATATTCCATACATTAGATCATCTTTTTAACTCTCACGTTTATTGTGTCAAAAATGTGATTTATTTAGTGGATCATAAAAGGATTCTTATGCTGCAACAAACTCGTGAAACTCATCTTGTAATTGATCTTTTTAAGTTTTTGTTGCTAAATAGTTGAAGGAAAGCCAAGTTCTATGGATAGTCAACTTCTTTAATGCAATGAGTGCGACGTTTCGGTGTATATAGGTGCTAATACCGTTATCAACCAAGTTTTACTTCATCTTTACAACTTCTAAAATGTCTCTCAAAGAAGTTAATATATAGTTAGTACGCTGCTTTCTGTATTTGATGAGTCTGCAAGTCACATACGCCTGCACGCACATGGTATAGGCCTGTAGCGGTGGTAGAACCAGGTATTGTGAGGCATTCAAGCAATGACTTTATCTTAACCTCGACAGTCACATTAGCCGAAATAAAGGTTCCTGAGCGACATAAGGCGCATTTGTCTGTGTATGTTGACAATACTAACGGCATAGATGTATGTCAAATGGATATTCATGCTTGCTGAACACAACAAAGCCGTAAATTGACACGAAGTCACTGTGAGGACAAACACAATGTGTAATACGCTATCAGCGGGCTATAGTAGCTGCAAACCCAATCACTCTAGGTGAAGCCTTGTCCTGGAATGTCAATTAGGGGGGACTTATGGACAGGTGCGTGCTCAGTGTGGACAACATTAAGCCCGTGGAGAGGTTGTCCTTCCCATATCTCTACATCGATAATGACCCATGTCATTTCAGTGGCTAACTAGAACCCCACTAGACTTAGTCTCTGAAACAATATATTTTTGATAGTCACAAATAAACCCATTTAAAGTGAAAAGGAGCGCCATTGAATTAGGGGATTCAGAGCCTGAGGAAATCTAGACATGCTTTATTTAGGACTTGAGGAGGGAGGAAGGGAGGGCTAGGCAGTAGGGGAAATAGTGTGGTTCAGGGACTGTGAGACAGACTAGAACCTCACAAGCTTTTGCAAGTATTTGGTTGCAGCCATTAAAATAACATATACTATCTATACCAGAAAACACACGTGGAGGGATATTTTGCATTTCTTCTTCTATCTCACCTACGTTTAATGACATTTTACAAAGTAAGCATGGCTAATTCTTGATATGCACATAAACCAAAGATGAATTAAGAGGTCGCACCTGCTGGAGTTTACTGCTTGTCTGTGATGGATCACAAAACGGTGGCAGTGACGTAGGCATGTTCTGATGCGCCTGATTCAGTTCTCCAATACCGCCTCCCGGGTGTAGTGGGTGGAACGTGTGCCTGGAGAGCGGGAGCGAACCCATGTCCGCGTAATACTAAACAGACGTACAAACATTGAGCTTGTCGTTACCTGTGTGTACATACATTGAGCTTGTCGTTACCCTGTGTGTACATACATCGAGCTTGTCGTTACTCTGTGTATGCATTCATTGTGCTTGTACATACATCGAGCTTGTCGTTACCCTGTGTACATACATTGAGCTTGTCGTTACCCTGTGTGTACATACATCGAGCTTGTCGTTACCCTGTGTGTACATACATTGAGCTTGTCGTTACTCTGTGTGTACATACATCGAGCTTGTCGTTACTCTGTGTATGCATTCATTGAGCTTGTCGTTACTCTGTGTGTACATACATCGAGCTTGTCGTTACCCTGTGTGTACATACATTGAGCTTGTCGTTACCCTGTGTGTACATACATTGAGCTTGTCGTTACCCTGTGTGTACAAACATTGAGCTTGTCGTTACCTGTGTATGCATTCATTGAGCTTGTCGTTACTCTGTGTGTACATACATTGAGCTTGTCGTTACCCTGTGTGTACATACATCGAGCTTGTCGTTACCCTGTGTGTACATACATTGAGCTTGTCGTTACCCTGTGTGTACATACATCGAGCTTGTCGTTACCCTGTGTGTACATACATTGAGCTTGTCGTTACTCTGTGTGTATATACATGGAGCTTGGCGTTACTCTGTGTGTACATACATTGAGCTTGGCGATAATAGTTGAAATTTCTAAAGAAAATAATAAATAACAGACTTAGGTCTTTAGACTTGCACGAGTCTGGAAGGTAAACATGAATAGTGTAAATTATAATTTCTAAAATCTGATATATAACAGACTTATTCTTAGATGTACTGTCGGCCTATCTAGACTTCCTCTTCGAAGGAGAGAATTACTATACATCTATGGGCTCAGCATTCAGTACAGCCTTGGAGCAAGGCTATGTCTTGGCCCTGGGGTATCTATGTTGAACTGCGGCATGGTATCTCAGTGGGATAACACGATAAAGGTAGCAAAGATGCATAGCAATACACGCAATTACATATGTACGCCACTGTATAAGTGAAATCATTATAGAAAGCGACAGATGCACTATCAAATAAAAACACAGCAACAACAGCAACAACAACAACACACACACACACACACACACAATGTGTGAGTGCTTAATAATGAGTGAACGTACTGTATGAGCTCCATACAGCGATATCCCGTTCTAAGCATCGTCACAGAAGGTTGATGTTGTTACGATCAGATGTTTTAACGTGTATAAGAGACGGGTTACTTATACGATATGTCTGTGCATTATCCGATGCTGCCTAATTTCAACAGGCTGGAAACCAATAAACCATTTAATTGCAATTTGACATCGACTGCGTATTCATATTAACCTGTTGATGACAACACTTATAATGAAGGTTCAAGAAGCATTAACGGTGTCCCTGTTGATGGTTGGCACTGTCACGACATCAGCCGTCAGTGGTCGGGAGTTTACATGACTGACACAGGTTCGTGGTCGTTAGTTGTTAGAGAGTATACATGGTTGACACAGGTTCTTGGTCGTTAGTTTTTAGAGAGCATACATGGTTGACACAGGTTCTTGGTCGTTAGTTGTTAGAGAGCATACATGGTTGACACAGGTTCTTGGTCGTTAGTTGTTTGAGAGTATACATGGTTGACACAGGTTCTTGGTCGTTAGTTGTTTGAGAGTATACATGATTGACACAGGTTCTTGGTCGATAGTTGTTTGAGAGTATACATGGTTGACACAGGTTCTTGGTCGATAGTTGTTAGAGAGTATACATGGATGACACAGGTTCTTGGTCGTTAGTTGTTTGAGAGTATACATGGTTGACATAGGTTCTTGGTCGTTAGTTGTTACAGAGTATACATGATTGACACAGGTTCTTGGTCGTTAGTTGTTTGAGAGTATACATGGTTGACATAGGTTCTTGGTCGATAGTTGTTTGAGAGTATACATGGATGACACAGGTTCTTGGTCGTTAGTTGTTACAGAGTATACATGGATGACACAGGTTCTTGGTCGTTAGTTGTTACAGAGTATACATGATTCTCACATGTTCTTGGTGGATAGGTGTTTGAGATATACATGACTGGCACGGGTTTTTGGTCGTTAGTTGTTTGAGAGTATACATGGATGACACAGGTTCTTGGTCGTTAGTTGTTTGAGAGTATACATGGTTGACACAGGTTCTTGGTCGTTAGTTGTTTGAGAGTATACATGGTTGACACAGGTTCTTGGTCGATAGTTGTTAGAGAGTATACATGGATGACACAGGTTCTTGGTCGTTAGTTGTTTGAGAGTATACATGGTTGACACAGGTTCTTGGTCGATAGTTGTTAGAGAGTATACATGGATGACACAGGTTCTTGGTCGTTAGTTGTTTGAGAGTATACATGGATGACACAGGTTCTTGGTCGTTAGTTGTTACAGAGTATACATGGATGACACAGGTTCTTGGTCGTTAGTTGTTTGAGAGTATACATGGTTGACATGGTTCTTGGTCGATAGAGAGTATACATGGATGACACAGGTTCTTGGTCGTTAGTTGTTACAGAGTATACATGGATGACACAGGTTCTTGGTCGATAGTTGTTTGAGAGTATACATGACTGGCACACATGGATGACACAGGTTCTTGGTCGTTAGTTGTTACAGAGTATACATGATTCTCACATGGGTGGATGTTGTTCTTGGTCGTTAGTTGTTACAGAGTATACATGATGACACAGGTTCTTGGTCGTTAGTTGTTACAGAGTATACATGGATGACACAGGTTCTTGGTCGATAGTTGTTTGAGAGGATATACATGGATGACACAGGTTCTTGGTCGATAGTTGTTTGAGAGTATACATGGATGACACAGGTTCTTGGTCGATAGTTGTTACAGAGTATACATGGATGACACAGGTTCTTGGTCGTTAGTTGTTACAGAGTATACATGGATGACACAGGTTCTTGGTCGATAGTTGTTTGAGAGTATACATGGATGACACATGTTCTTGGTCGATAGTTGTTTGAGAGTATACATGGATGACACAGGTTCTTGGTCGATAGTTGTTTGAGAGTATACATGGATGACACAGGTTCTTGGTCGATAGTTGTTTGAGAGTATACATGGATGACACAGGTTCTTGGTCGATAGTTGTTTGAGAGTATACATGATTGACACAGGTTCTTGGTCGATAGTTGTTTGAGAGTATAAATGATTGACACATTTTCTTGGTCGATAGTTGTTTTGAGAGTATACATGATTCTCACATGTTCTTGTTCTTTGAGATATAAATGACTGGCACGGGTTTTTGGTCGATAGTTGTTTGAGAGTATACATGATTGACACAGGTTCTTGGTGGATAAGTGTTTGATATATACATGACTGGCACGGGTTTTTGGTCGATAGTTGTTTGAGAGTATACATGATTGACACAGGTTCTTGGTGGATAGGTGTTTGAGATATACATGACTGGCACGGGTTTTTGGTCGATAGTTGTTTGAGAGTATACATGGTTGACACATGTTCTTGGTGGATAAGTGTTTGAGATATACATGACTGGCACGGGTTTTTGGTCAATAGTTGTTTGAGAGTATACATGGTTGACACATGTTCTTGGTGGATAAGTGTTTGAGATATACATGACTGGCACGGGTTTTTGGTCAATAGTTGTTTGAGAGTATACATGGTTGAGAATTTACATGATTCTCACATGTTCTTGGTGGATAGGTGTTTGAGATATACATGACTGGCACGGGTTTTTGGTCGATAGTTGTTTGAGAGTATACATGATTGACACAGGTTCTTGGTGGATAGGTGTTTGAGATATACATGACTGGCACGGGTTTTTGGTCGATAGTTGTTTGAGAGTATACATGGTTGACACATGTTCTTGGTGGATAGGTGTTTGAGATATACATGACTGGCACGGGTTTTTGGTCGATAGTTGTTTGAGAGTATACATGGTTGACACATGTTCTTGGTGGATAAGTGTTTGAGATATACATGACTGGCATGGGTTTTTGGTCGATAGTTGTTTGAGAGTATACATGATTGACACATGTTCTTGGTGGATAAGTGTTTGAGATATACATGACTGGCACGGGTTTTTGGTCAATAGTTGTTTGAGAGTATACATGGTTGACACATGTTCTTGGTTGTTAGTTGTTAGAGATATACATGGTTGACACATGTTCTTGGTTGTTAGTTGTTAGAGAGTATACATGATTGACATAGGTTCTTGGTAGATAGGTGTTTGAGATATACATGACTGGCACGAGTTTTTGGTCGATAGTTGTTTGAGAGTTTACTAAATTGACCAATACTGCACATTGATCGATTAATCAGTTGTATATTGCACAGTAGATCTGTCTGAGTGTTTATGTGTGTAGGTTTGCTATAGCACACGATACACCATATTTAGGAGCTTATGTAAAAACAGCAAACGTTTTCCAAAGGATTAGCCGATAGTACGTTAATTGGTTGTTCATTGTCGTGTAACAAAATTGATTTTTCTTTACATAACCATGTACATAGATTTTACGTGTACTATCTAGGCTGACTAATGAGACATGACGCGGATTTGAAACACCTTCGTGATCAGTTGAAGTACGAACACGGGTCCCGAAACGGAATTTGTTTTAGATTGTTACAAAGAAACATGAATTTCAAACACGATTCTTTGTACAACTTAAGAGTGATTGGTAATACTCCGCTTTTAGCAATATTCCAACAATATCACGACGGGGTTCCAGGGGACAACAGAAATGGGCTTCACACATTGTACCCTTGTGGGGAATCGAACCCGGGTCTTCGTCGTGACGAGCGAACGCTTTAACCACTAGGCTACTCAACCGCCCAGCTTAAGATGTAAGGGGTAATGTTGCTGTGTGTAATATTGTCAGTATATATCTCGAACAAGGTAGCTGCAGGATATTAAAGATGTAACTGGTTTGATTGTAGTTACGATATTTGCATGTTACTTTCATTCATTTCCTGTAGCAGGACCGCGTTAGTCCTGAGTGGTTACTGATTAAACTGTTCCTTTCCTTGAAACATTTTCCGGACGGTGAAATTGATAGAGTCGCATGTAAAATCATCACAACGTTAACGCATGTGGCTGTGACGGGTGTAGAAAGGCCGACCAAGCTACATCCTACTTCACAAACACAGGTCATAGCTAGCTGTACAGGGTGGAGGATCCGCTCTGTAGAGATATTGAAAAGGCTGATTGTAAGGTTTGAAGACGAGGATTACATTTTATACTACAACACGTTGGTGTAGGTAATCTGATCAGTTTGTTTCTATCCAATCTATCAATCCAAGTGCATATTGGACAACATATGTCAGGGGTGATGTGCGTGTTTGATTTACCCGTGGTCCCCAGCGGAAGGGTGGTGTTGCACCAGTGATTTCCTATGGAACAATGGCATAAAAGTGTCTGCGCTTCACAGGTTTTAAAGATTAAGCAAAACCTAAACGGATGACGTAATGATTGTTTATGCCTAGTATGGGAACTGTTTTCAGTTGAACATATTTCATGTCAAGGTGATTGCCAAATATGTGAACTGTCACATATTCCAATGTTAGATGAGCCTCGTTCTATGTACCGTCATGTGTGGTGGTTCACTTCAGTGTGCTGACAGATAGTGTTGTTGCTGAAACGTTGTAGCCACTAGCAACAGTAGGCCTGATCGCAAGGGCAGGATAGGGACCGTTCATAGTTCATAAAAGGCATTCTGGTTGGGGGTGGGGGTCTGAGGGTGGGAGTGATGAAGATTTTTATGGAGAAACATGTACAATGTGAATGTCCCCTCCCGCTTAATTTTATGTTCAAAGTAAGTGACCCCCTGCATGTCATTTACAAAATCAATGCTGATCCCCCTAGTACATGTGTACAAATTTGATGACGGTCACTTAACACATTTTGTCTCTAGTGTTATACCTACCCACACAAGACAGGGTAGTAGACTTGCCCTGTATTCACAAACACATGACAGTTTGTTAGACCTACCTTGTATTCACAAACACATGACAGTTTGTTATATTCACAAACACATGACAGTTTGTTAGACCTACCCTGTATTCACAAACACATGCCAGTTTGTTAGACCTACCCTATATTCACAAACACATGACAGTTTGTTATATTCACAAACACATGACAGTTTGTCAGACCTACCCTATATTCACAAACACATGACAGTTTGTTGTATTCACAAACACATGACAGTTTGTTAGACCTACCCTGTATTCACAAACACATGACAGTTTGTTAGACCTACCCTGTATTTACAAACACATGACAGTTTGTTATATTCACAAACACATGCCAGTTTGTTAGACCTACCCTGTATTCACAAACACATGCCAGTTTGTTAGACCAACCCTATATTCACAAACACATGACAGTTTGTTATATTCACAAACACATGACAGTTTGTTAGACCAACCTTGTATTTACAAACACATGACAGTTTGTTATATTCACAAACACATGACAGTTTGTTATATTCACAAACACATGCCAGTTTGTTAGACCAACCCTGTATTTACAAACACATGACAGTTTGTTATATTCACAAACACATGACAGTTTGTTAGACCTACCCTGTATTCACAAACACATGCCAGTTTGTTAGACCAACCCTGTATTTACAAACACATGACAGTTTGTTATATTCACAAACACATGACAGTTTCTTAGACCAACCCTGTCTTCACAAACACATGACAGTTTGTTAGACCTACCCTGTATTCACAAACACATGACAGTTTGTTAGACCTACCCTGTATTCACAAACACATGCCGGTTTGTTAGACCAACCCTGTATTCACAAACACAAGGCATGGTACTAGATCATGCCTGTGTTATAGTTTGTTAGATCAACCTGTATTCACAAACACAAGGCATGGTACTAGATCATGCCTGTGATATAGTTTGCAATGTCTCTTGTTCGTGTCTGTTTAATTGTTTCAACTGAATTCACGCTGTTAATTGTGAACCTGCCAACTATAGGAATAACAGGACAGATTGAGAACTGGAGGTCGGGAATGAAATGAAAATACGCATTTGGTATTGTCCATGTAACTTATCCAAACAGAATAAAATTTCCCACGGACAATTATCGTCCACTTTAATCTGACCTCAGCTCTCGCGGGTCACACCGACCCTTTAAAGCTTGTGTGATGTACACCGCCTGGAGACGGACAAGCTAATTGGTGTGTACAAATCTGCTATAATTACTCCCTCTCTAACACGCTGTGACCTTGCGTTGATTATCAGAGACAATATAGGGAAATTCATTCATGACGAACTTACTTAAGATGGGTGTTGGGGTGTTATTTCAAGTCAAGAGTTACCATAGGAACATAAGGGTAACGCGATTCTTTCACTTTGATAGGTGTCGGTACTGGGCTTACAGGAAATGGCAGTGTGGAGAGCTTGCCTCAGAGGAGCGGCGCGCCACCCAGTGTTCCAACAGGTTAGTGTTGAGTTTAACTATATAGGTGTATATCGTCATATATCACACAAGGCCAGGATATATTTATGAGGTATAAACAGTTACGTTTGTGTCTTCTACACTTGTTTTCAGATCAACGGGCTCTTGTGATATCGGTCAGTATGGTTAAAGTATGTCAGTTGGCCCTCCATGTGCGTGGCTGGCTTAACAACCAACGTCATCGTATAGTACACACAAGCTATATATCATTTCATTGTAACGTACAGGTTAAAGTGTTATAATTCTTTAATGTTTTCACGCTTGATGTCCGTTTTCAAAGTATGCCAAATTGTGACTTATTTTATTTATCTATTCATCTGTTATTGTAATGTTTAATCGTTTTTCAAGTTATAGTTGAATACACGTGTTCTTACTGTTGCTTCAGGTCATTACCGCTGGAAGCCACCAAGCAACGTCAGTAGCAGCAACAGCACCACCGCGCCTTCCCGCCATTCGGTGGACGTGATGACGTCATTTTCATCCAGTGACGCTGAACATGAGGTCAAGTCTAACGGAGTCCTGTCACGTGACACGACGTCAGGCGACGTGTCAGCTCTGCAACGTCAGATCGAGCGACTACGTCTTGAATTATCAGAAGCACAAGATCAAATCCGCAAGATGGAGACAAGAGAAGTACAGTTGAAAGAAAGGTACAACCGTTTGGCCCTAATCATCATGTCAATGTATGAGGCATTGACTGTTCGAACGTTTGAAAATATTTGTATGTACATGGGGATTTTATGTTTGGTCATGTCTCGTTGTTCTTCATTTTCTGAACTGCGCCGCTTAGCTTCCTGTGTCTGTTGAATTGGCAAATGGGTTTCACATGAAACTAATACTAGATCATGATGTACAGTAAATGATGATCCAAACGCCCGAGAAAGTTACTTAGTATATGTATCCGTGTGTCTAGGCTATCCGACCAGGTTCACAAGCAGTTCACAGTGAACGCCGGCAGCTTTGAAAATATCAACCTTGGCAGTGGTAAACGCCCCACCGAGCTGATCCGTCAGTATGGGAACCTGTACACTGATGGCCGCGTAGACGCTATGGACGCCCTCAACAGCTTCACGCAGCTGGGCGACCTCGATGTCCTAAAGATGAAGATTCTTTTCTCCGTCATCGTGGTGAGTAACTAGTAGATATATGCATCACAGAACTATAGGCTGGTTATATTTGATCAATTTTAATGTACGTCTGATCCTATTGGAAGGCTTGTGGCGGTAGGGTAGCCTAGTGGTTAAGCCATTGCGCATCACGTCGAAGACCCGTGTTCGATTCCCCACTTGAGCACAATGTGTGAAGTCCATTTCTGGTGTCCCCCGCCGTGATATTGCTGGAATATTGCTTGAATATTGCTGAAAGCGGCGTAAAACTCAACTCACTCACACTAGTGGAGGGCTGTAATATTCAGTTAGAAATTGCAGTGGTTCACTTGTTGTCAACCTACAGTGACCTAATTACCACGAGGGGCAATGTAGTCCGCCCATACAAATATGCCAGGAGTCTCAGTAACGTGTGTCTTCACGCCCAGTAATGGAGAGGAACCAAGTATTTCCCAGTTAAGCCCAATTAGGAAAGTGACTGTACATTGTTATACATCGGCAAGCAGTTAATTAAACATCAAGGCATTAGATTAGGACAAGTAAATAGGCCCCAGTGGTTGCTGAACCTGTCACTGAACGAGGTTTGTTTTACAACAAGTAATGTATCGGCACACCATGGGCGTATTTAAGAACGCAACAACTAATTAGCTAATATGCCTCATCCTGCGGAAGTTGTTTTTGAGAAGTTCAAACACCTGCTTGCTTTGCGTTTTAGTTACAACATCTTACATGGATGAAAGGGTCATATATGCCTCAAGCAAAATCAGCCTCTGTATTCTTTACAAACTAAAGTGTTATAATTAGGTCTAAAGCTTGAAAATAATTCCATTGTTTTTCAGCTAGCCTTCAGGGCAGCCCAGCAATCCTTGCAAGATCTCAAACAGAAACTGCACCAGATGCTCAATATCCCCACTCCCGATGCAGCTTCCGGTGACCCCTTGTCACGTGACTTGGAACGTCACCTAGATTACTACCTCAGCCAGTCAGCTGACAGATTTGATTTGAGTAAATGTGTTGAGGTTCGTATTTTATGTAAACACATCCTTACCTTAGTCAAAGTTGCTATGTTTATAACATTAGATAAAATAGTTACAACAGTTTCTATAACTGAAGAAAATGGCATCCTAAACCTCCATATAGGGGGTTGATGGAGTTTCTCTCACAGGGAGTTCTATGTTGCATTTGAGGCTGCATGACGATTGCAGTCATCGTAGTAGTAGTAGTAGTAGTGTTAGTAGTAGTAGTGGTAGTAGTAGTAGTAGGAAGAAGTAGTTGTTAGTAGTAGTAGTTGTTGTTGTTGTTGTTGGTAGTAGCAGTAGTAATTGTGGTAGTAGTTATAGCACGTAGTAGTAGTAGTAGTAGTGTTAGTAGTAGTAGTAGTAGTAATAGTAGTAGTTGTTGGTAGTAGCTGTAGTAATTGTGGTAGTAGTTATAGCACGTAGTAGTCGTAGTGTTAGTAGTAGTAGTTGTTGTTGGTAGTAGTAGTTGTTAGTAGTAGTAGTGGTAAATGTTGTTGGTAGTAGCAGTAGTAATTGTGATAGTAGTTATAGCATGTAGTAGTAGTAGTGTTAGTAGTAGTAGTTGTTGTTGGTAGTAGTAGTAGTGGTAATTGTTGTTGTTGGTAGTAGCTGTAGTAATTGTGGTAGTAGTTATAGCATGTAGTAGTAGTAGTGTTAGTAGTAGTAGTTGTTGTTGGTAGTAGAAGTTGTTGTTATCCCCCGCAACGCATTTTGCGGGGGTATTAAAATGGACTCCGTCGTGCGTGCGTCGCGTCCGTCCGTCCGTGCACATTTGTCTTTCCGGAGCAGAACTCTAAAACCGTTCAATATTTCTTCACCAAACTTGGCACATACATGGATCTGGTGGTGTACTGGTGCCTTTTGGTAGTTTTGGAATTCTGAATTAAATATTTTTGGCGTTTCCATGGCAACAAGTTTGACTTTGCCTGAAATTGGGGTAGTGCTGTTTTCCGGAGCTGAACTCTAAAACTGTTCACAATTTCTTCACCAAACTTGGCACATAGATAGATCTGGTGGTGTACTTGTGCCTTTTGGTAGTTTTGGAATTCTGAATAAAATATTTTTGGCCTTTCCATGGCAACAAGTTTGACTTAGACTGAAATTGGTGGTTGTGCTCCTTTCTGGAGCAGAACTTTCAAAACCTTTCAATACTCTCCTTCCACTTTTCTATATACACACCTAAATATTGGACATAATCATAACTCGTAGACATAATCATGAAGAGTATTTTGTCCATTGCGCGGGGATATTGATGACTTTGTCTTCTTAGTAGTAGTAGTGGAAATTGTTGTTGTTGGTAGTAGCTGTAGTAATTGTGGTAGTAGTTATAGCATGTAGTAGTAGTAGTGTTAGTAGTAATAGTTGTTGTTGGTAGTAGTAGTAGTGTTAGTAGTAGTAGTTGTTGTTGGTAGTAGAAGTAGTGGTAATTGTTGTTGTTGGTAGTAATTGTGGTAGTAGTTATAGCATGTAGTAGTAGTAGTGTTAGTAGTAGTAGTTGTTGTTGGTAGTAGTAGTAGTGGTAATTGTTGTTGTTGGTAGTAGCAGTAGCAATTGTGGTAGTAGTTATAGCATGTAGTAGTAATAGTGTTAGTAGTAGTAGTTGTTGTTGGTAGTAGTAGTAGTGGAAATTGTTGTTGTTGGTAGTAGCTGTAGTAATTGTGGTAGTAGTTATAGCATGTAGTAGTGTTAGTAGTAATAGTTGTTGTTGGTAGTAGTAGTAGTGGTAATTGTTGTTGTTGGTAGTAGCTGTAGTAATTGTGGTAGTAGTTATAGCATGTAGTAGTAGTAGTGTTAGTAGTAGTAGTTGTTGTTGGTAGTAGTAGTAGTGGTAATTGTTGTTGTTGGTAGTAGCTGTAGTAATTGTGGTAGTAGTTATAGCATGTAGTAGTAATAGTGTTAGTAGTAGTAGTTGTTGTTGGTAGTAGTAGTAGTGGAAATTGTTGTTGTTGGTAGTAGCTGTAGTAATTGTGGTAGTAGTTATAGCATGTAGTAGTGTTAGTAGTAATAGTTGTTGTTGGTAGTAGTAGTAGTGGTAATTGTTGTTGTTGGTAGTAGCAGTAGTAATTGTGGTAGTAGTTATAGCACGTAGTAGTAGTAGTAGTATTTATAGGAAGTAGTCATAGTAATATATACACTTATACTGCACCAAACTCCAGACACACACTGCTTGCTACAAACAAAATGTCACTGCAAATAGCCATAGACGTTGTTTTTTTTGTTTTCCATCGGTGCTCACAAGTTATAGAAAGTTTTAAAGAGATAGGTTTTGAAGTTTTGAATGTCAAGGGATTCTGCCTCCTTGACTTAAAGAAGTAACGGGGTCCATAAAGTGGCAGCCAATTAGGCAAAGGATCTATATCAGATTGTACCTTGGTAGCAGTAGACGTAGTTGTTGCTGCTGTTGTTGTTGTTATTGGTGGTAGTTATAGGACGTAGCAGTTGTTATTAATAGTAGAATTGTTGTTGTTGGTAGTAGTAGTAGTAGTAGTAGTAGTAGTAGTTGTTGTTGTTGTTGTTGTTGTTGTTGTTGTTGTTGTTGTTGTTGTTGTTGTTGTTGTTGTTGTTGTATAGTTTATTAGGGTACAGATCGAGGCAACTCGAAATTTGTGTAACAGGTCGTAACAACATTGAATGACATAAATACATAGACAGAATTTTGATTGTGCTGTGTGTTAATCATGATAAAGGAGGGTGCATGTTGATATAAAACCATATATCTCCTGGTGTGATACTATAATGTAGTTTCCTATGTTCTGACCAGGATGTGTGCACGCAGATCTACGCCACCCTGTACGACTACCCCTGTCTCAAGGACTGCCCAGTGCTGGTCGAATACATCCGGGAGTGTGTCCGCCTTTCGTGGGGGTTGACCGTCCTCAACCCTTCCTACGTCATCGTGTACGACAGCCGCTCCTTCTCTGCAGACTCTCACACCCGATTCCATACATCCAACCCAGAGAGTGAGGACATTCAGTGCTTCCTCTGGCCGTCGCTCATCGAGCCGCAGACAGGCGTGGTCCTGCACAAAGGCGTCGTCATCACGTGACGCCTCCTTCCCTCTTTCGTGATACATTGATGTAATCATGACATAGTGCTACAAGACTTCATATGTCAAAGACGGACTGAACCCACCGACCAGCAAGTGCAGCTGTACTAGTTTCATGCACGTTCACCGTAATACCTTCAGAAAAACGTATTTACACAGCTTGATTTCACCATGTACATATGTAACAGCGGCGGTTGGGTAGCCTAGTGGTTAAAGCGTTCGCTCGTCACGCCAAAGACCCAACATGGGTGCAGTGTGTGAAGCCCATTTCTGGTGTCCACCGCTGGGATGTTGCAGTTGCTTCTTCTAAAAGCAGCATAAAACCATACTCACTCGCATATGTAACATTTAAACCAATATTCTCACGGGTCCCCTCAGCAAATTAAAGCGATATTCTGACGGGGCACCCCTGCACCACACCGTAGCTGTATGTCAGTTACCCTACATCAACGCTGCTGCGGTGACGTAGGGAACGACATCTTGTGGCTTGGCGTCCAGTAATAGTCACCTACTTTGTGAATACATACTTGTAAATAAACACTATTGAGTTTTGATAAATTACATAACGTTTAAAGGCAGTTGTTTGTGATTTTTGCGGTTATGCGGTTATACCCTTCCAATATCAATGCGAAACCAAGAGGTATGTCTGGTAGTTTACATGGGAGAAAGCGAATTTAATGAAGCCGTAGGAAAGATAGAGGGAGACAAAGATTAGAGTAGATGAACCCTAAGAGCCTTACAGATATAAACTAATAGCCTGGAACATGACTGATGTAAGGAGTAATGTAACGCTTACTTTGGAGAAATTATAGTTAAACCTTTTTTTGTTTGGACAAATATGTCGGACAGGTGCCAGAGGAGATCAATCATTAGGGTGGACAAATGTGTATGTGTGGAGACAGGAGAATATAGTTCTTAATGTATTGTCATTTACTTGGATCACTGACACAACCATCCATGTAGGTGTCCTCCCATTACGCAGACAGCCAGTTCGCAGACACCTTAAAAAAACAACATTTACGGTTCAGTGAACAGATCATCTACTACCTGTTACCTACACATTATAATGGAATAGTCCAAATAAAAACACAGGAACAAACTACTGCTAAGACAGTAATTTGAATTTTTATTGCTGCAATATAAAAGCAGTTTATTTATTAACAGGTTATTTATTTTCATAAACATTTCGGTTTAACCTTCTAGTCTAACGGGAGTCGGCATCATCATATTGAAAACATTAGCTTAGCTATTAGAAATTGCGACACTGTTGTATCGTATAAATCAAATATAGATAAATTTGAACCTAAATATTATTCATTTGGAATAAAGAAGTTATATGTTTTGAACACAATATTAAGATATATGACGAATGAACTTAGTTACGATTTATTTAGAATAAATATTTAAAATATGACGCATCATGTCAATGTGGCCATGGATGTGAGAATGTTTTTCATTACCTCCTTGAATGTCCATTGTATACTACTCAAAGACATAAAGTGTTACAATCTTTAGAAAGTATTGTTGAAATTAGAACACTGATTGGTATTAATCGTATCTTACATGGCAATGCAGATGTCTCATTTACTGCAAATAAGAATGTTTTCAAATATGTACGTATCTATATCTCTCCAACAAAACGTTTTCTCAGTTAACTTCTGTTGTACATATGCTATTATTGGGAGGGGACTTTTCTATCAATAAACACAATCAAACCTCTCAGTGACAAACCTGTTTTTATATTCGATAGTAATTGATAGTAAAATCAAATTTGAGAAGAGAAATCATTTAATCACAACAAAGTTCTATTTACCCACAATCAAACTTGTCAGTAACGAACCTGTTTCAGGCTCACCTTGCTCTACTCACTAGACAGTGGACTGTTCCATTATACCCGTAGGTGTTACCCTAATTAACCTTCTAGTTCAGTGTCTGTCAATTGGGTGTCTGTCAAATGGGAGATAACCTCCATGTACAGTAGAGCCATTGGGTTTAATTAAAGAGCACTCTTGTTTTGGTAGGTATAACGTTAAGGCACCAGGGAAGCGTAGCAAGCATGGATCTGGCATTAAGCAGATACGTACATTACAGGAGATGCTTTACCCGTGTGTGTGCAACAACTTGACTGTCCTAATAGCCTGAGGTCGAATCGCCATCTTCACGTGACCTGTGCCTCACCTATCGCCTCCTTCGAATTCTCTGCATGTGTGAGGTCATTGAGTTCTGTGTGATCTAACCGCCGCTCTTCAATGTTCACCCCACTCCCTCCATGGCACATGAAGCTGCAGCCTGTACAAATATACACGGGACTGTAAACACATTCAACTCGTTTCAGTAACAAATTTCGACATTGTACTATATCCATGTTTCAGTTCTTGTGGAGGACGCTAAAAGTGAATTTCTTTGTTATATTTCTTCAGACAAGTCTAAACCATGAACTATATATACTCTTTAACTCGAACAGAACCATTAAGAACAGAGTCTGTCAGATGTCAGGGTAGATGAACCATTAGATAGATGTCAGGGTAGATGAACCATTAGATAGATGTCAGGGTAGATGAACCATTAGATAGATGTCAGGGTAGATGAACCATTAGACACATGTCAGGGTAGGTGAACCATTAGACACATGTCAGGGTAGGTGAACCATTAGACACATGTCAGGGTAGGTGAACCATTAGACAGATGTCGGGGAAGGTAAGCCATTAGTTTGGAGTCCGACCATTAGACACATGTCGGGGTACGTGAACCATTAGACAGATGTCGGGGAAGGTAAGCCATTAGGTTGGAGTCCGACAGATGTCAATGTGGCTAAACCATTAGACAGATGTCAGGGTAGATGAACCATTACACAGCTGTCTTGTCTTCAACCATCCCCGTGACTTAGCACAAACCCTTTTCTTCACATATCACCCTGTCATTATATCCTCTCACACCCTTACACATCACCCTGTCACATACACACTTGTATAAACCTATACGCTTGTCATTACACATCACCTTGTCACATACACCCTTGTATAAACCTATACGCTTGTCACATACACACCCTTGTATAAACCTATACGCTTGTCGTTACACATCACCTTGTCACATACACCCTTGTATAAACCTATACGCTTGTCGTTACACATCACCTTGTCACATACACCCTTGTATAAACCTATACGCTTGTCGTTACACATCACCTTGTCACATACACCCTTGTATAAACATCACCTTGTATAAACCTATACGCTTGTCGTTACACATCACCTTGTCACATACACCCTTGTATAAACCTATACGCTTGTCGTTACACATCACCCTGTCACATACACCCTTGTATAAACCTATACGCTTGTCGTTACACATCACCTTGTCACATACACCCTTGTATAAACCTATACGCTTGTCGTTACTCATCACCTTGTCACATACACCCTTGTATAAACCTATGCGCTTGTCATAACACATCACCCTGTCACATACACCCTTGTATAAACCTATACGCTTGTCATTACACATCACCTTGTCACATACACCCTTGTATAAACCTAGACCCGGGTTCGATTCCCCACATGGACACAATGTGTTAAGCCCATTTCTGGTGTCCCCCGCCGTGTATATTGCTGGAATATTGCTACAATAAACCTCACATACGGCGTAAATCACTAAACCTTGTCACCCTTGTATAAACCTATACGCTTGTCAGTTGTATAAACCTATATACGCTTGTCGTTACACATCACCCTGTCACATACACCCTTGTATAAACCTATACGCTTGTCGTTACACATCACCTTGTCACATACACCCTTGTATAAACCTATACGCTTGACACATCACCTTGTTACACATCACCTTGTCACATACACCCACATTGTATAAACCTATACGCTTGTCGTTACACATCACCTTGTCACATACACCCTCACGCTTGTCACACATCACCTTGTCACACACCCTTGTATAAACCTATACGCTTGTCGTTACACATCACCCTTGTCACATACACACCCTTGTATAAACCTATACGCTTGTCGTTACACATCACCCTGTCACATACACCCTTGTATAAACCTTGTATAAACCTATACGCTTGTCGTTACACATCCTTGTCACCACCCTTGTCGTTACACATCACCTTGTCACATACACCTTGTATAAACCTATACGCTTGTCGTTACGCTTTTGTCACATACACCCTTTGTATACCTATACATCACCACATCACCTTGTCACATACACCCTTGTATAAACCTATACGCTTGTACATTACACATCACCTTGTCGTACACCCCTTGTATAAACCTATACGCTTGTCGTTACACATCACCTTGTCACATACACCCTTGTATAAACCTATACACTTGTCGTTACACATCACCCTGTCACATACACCCTTGTATAAACCTATATGCTTGTCGTTACTCATCACCCTGTCACATACACCTTTGTATAAACCTATACGCTTCTCGTTACACATCACCTTGTCATATACACCCTTGTATAAACCTATACACTTGTCGTTACACATCACCTTGTCACATACACCCTTGTATAAACCTATACGCTTGTTATTACACATCACCTTGTCGTACACCCTTGTATAAACCTATGCGCTTGTCGTTACACATCACCTTGTCGTACACAACGTACATATTTGTCGCCGCACATAAGCGCCACCCCACCCCACCCCCCCCACCCCACCCCGCAGATCTACTTGTCTCCCCATCCATTGTTTTCACCCATCCCCTATCATCACCCATCATTTGATGTAAACCATTCTCTATTCACTTGACTTATTTACCACTTGTTGTGTTCCCCTCCCCGTCCCCTTGTTATCTCACCCCTACATTCCCCCAGCCTCACCGACGTTCGTACACTCATAGAACACACAGACGTGCCGCTCCTTACTTGAGGCTAATTAGCGGGACATTTGACCTTGGACCGCTCGTAATTAGGAAAGTATCACATGACAGTCCTTTTTAATATACACTTACCGCTTGCACGATATGGGAACAGCGGTGTTTGACATTTCCGTCAACTACCAACAGTTTCCTTCTTCAGTGCTAGTGAGGCCAGGCTGCATTGTGTTCAGCAACAGGGCACTTGTAACTACATATGTTAAAAATATATTCATAAATTTGTATTTAAGCAAGGAAAATGACGTTGTCTATGCGTTCCTCTCACGACACACAACACGTACCTAAAGTGAGACTACTGCCATTGCTGATGGCAGGAATCGGTTTCCTCCATCTCAATTTACGCACACTTTACGCCGACTATATTATTTTTCGTCCTGGGAGTTAATCTGAATCCTACAATTTCGATCTATTAACACAGTTAACTCACCTCTCCCTTGACCAACTGACCAACATGAGGCACATATCAATCAAAGCTAAAACAAATACAACTGCTGTTTTAAGGGCTTTCGCCCATGATAACATTGACCACTGGAATGCAGCGAATGTTAAGAATTATATGACTGGATTCCTCGTTTAATGACCACGATGATTTACTGTACATTTATCATCACAAACACTGGTGAAGACCCTCGTGTCCACTCAGCGGCGACATCCAAGATATGTCCGTGGTCTGACCAAACCGCCCAACCCTACTACCCACTCTCTCGCGGATCCCCCCTGCCCTGGTACCCCGTCTCCGGGGGGTGTCCGCTTCACGTGCTGTTTACACTGAGACACATAGAGTCATCCTATCATATTGGCCTCTCACCTACTTCATCTCGTGGGGGACTTTTATGATTTTATTGGGGGCAAGTCAGGGCTTAATTAAATGGTTTATAAACATCCAATAAACACACAGCTCATTACGCCGTACTGACCTATGCCGCTAGTTCCTGCCCCCACGCGCGGCCGCCGGGATGTCTCCCATGCTCCGCCGTCACTTGATTAGCTGATCTCGCCAAGTATACATTCTCATGGTGACGTTACCGACAACGCATGGAAGCAGGTGACCATATCTGAATATTCAATGAATATTCGAATCTTGGAGATAAGTCAACACTTCAGTCGTGTAGGAGAAGGCCGGGTTTGAATTCTTTTGACGCGCACCGGAGTGTATGACACACAGAGTCTCAGTGAACGTGCAAGTGTCCTGCACCAGTAGTATTGTTACAAGATGTTGTGGAGTCAAGAGTGGTTATCTGAGCGCGTTTTTGAATATATGACACGATTCAGATAAAAGGTTCTCAAAGCAGGTTTGTGAGATAAAACAGTTGGAACAATGTCTCTGGGAAGGAAATATGACGTCAATCGGCAGACGTCGTTACTGCTGCGAGAAGACACGCCGGGGAAGTACAGAAAGCTAACTGACAATGAGATAGATTCGGAAAGGGACTGGTTACGTGTACAGGCCAATGGCAACACGACACTACACCTTAGTGATGGAAGCAGCACAGATCTAGCTACGCCCAAGGAGCAAGACACACGGGAGGGAAGTCCTAGTTCAGTACACTCACTCGAGGGAGATGCGAAAAAGAGCAAGAGAGGAAAATTGTCGAAAACAAAGAAGCCTAAATCTTTGTCCATTAAAGAAGACATACAGGTGAGGGCGCCATCCTTGGACCAGCCAGGAGTAGAATCAGGGATCGCGCCTGCAAACCAAGAATCAGCATGCAAACAGGACGAAAATACAACGTCACTTGACGTTGCTGTTGTTGCTGATACCAGCGCCGAGTTGGATGTAGCCGTCGGAGGTGATCATACCCACTTATCAGATGTAGGTAAGACAGAGGTAACCAGCGAATGTGACCCTGAGCAGCCCAAAGGGAAGCCCAGCACTGAATCCGGCGTTAAAGTGAAAACAGAAACACGAAAAAAGGAAAAGAAAATTAAAAACAAAGACAAAAAGAAAACCAAACATAAGAAGAATACTTGTGAAGTTCACAGGAATGGGAAGCCCCGCGAAGAAGGTAAGCTGAGGAAGATATTTGACATTGGTAAGAAGAAATCTGATGACATAATGAGCAGCCCTCGTCACTGCCGGAGTTGCACATGCGACGGCGCTGCCACCCACGTAAACGTCCACCACGACACATCTGATACCTCTAGTGTGTCATCCTCTCACTCTGAGAGCAGCTTCCTCTCGGTCAAGAGGACAGAGACTACTAGCCTGTCCTCATCTCACCATTCCGAGTCGACAAGCACCGCCTCCAGCAGGACACTCACGGACAAACACAACACGTCATCAGACAGATCGTCACTATCTTCACATTTATTAACGTCATGCAGCAGAGTCAAGACAAAACCCGAGAAGCCACGGAGACTGCCGAAGACGCCGCCATCAACGCCAGAACCTACAGAGGTCGAACCGGATACGTCACTGGAGCAGGTGCGTCACGATGACGTCGTGTCAACAACGCCGGGGGACAAGGTACCAGAGAAGAAGGAGCTCCGTCGTCTGTACCCACAGGTAGACGGGAACGTGACGGCATGGGGGTGTTCACCCGGGATGATAACTCTCACCTTAAACCCCCCGGGGCTGCTTCCAGACGGTGCCAGGTTACAGATTCTCGGCAGGGCCGGACATTGCCGCGAGTCGGACGTCGACACCGGAACGTATGTTTGTCTGGATGAAGTAAAGAAAGATGGATTCCCCGGGATGTCAGCTGATGCAGGTAAGGACAAGTTGACTTTCAGCGAGGAAAGCTGAATATAGGAGTACTTTTGGTCAAATAATTCATCTAGTTTTCGGTGGTATTACATACTAATGTGGATGGTGTACACAAACAGTAGTTAATCGTATCATTTACAAAAAAAACCCCAAGAAGTTTACCTATACTCCGGAATCAATGTTTTTAATGCTGCATCAACAATGAATTCATCCTAAACTTAATCTTCCCTGAAAGATAATGTAGACGTACGTATGAGTTCATCACTACTTTGACACTACTCCATAAATACTTTATAAATAGCTTTTGTTGGTATATAGGCTGAAACAAGCACGTAGGTTAATGAACTATTTTGATGAGATTATAGTTGGAACTAAACGGGCTACAGCACCAGGACTGGCATCAATGAGACATTATCAGTCCCGATACCGATACTGACACTTCTGTAAATGAAACCATTCCTGGGATTCCAAAACACATCACATGGCAAAACAGACTTCAATGTGAACGGTTTAACGCACGCCAAATGTCAAAGTGAGGCCTGTAATTGGATGTAAGTGTGGGGGACAACAAAGGTTAAGAGGAGATGGGCTCTTGTTGCCCCTCAAGGAGACAAGCACCACACAAGCAGGCCTCCAAGAGCTCTTCACATTATCTGGCTGTGTTTGCGGGTAATCTTGAGCGGCCTTTATTACAAACAGTATGGCATAAATCTCCCATAGTAAGAACGGATAACAACTTAGCAAATAACGCTCTCTTTGTACATGCTTACGAAACAGTTAGCTTGCTGTCCATGTTTTGAACATATACTGCGTATCGTGTTGTTAGGGAGTTTTTAAAGTGTTTCAGTGTGGTTAACCACCGTTAGCCTACATAACCCGTTAATTTGAAAACATCAACCATATTGTAGTTTGTTCTTACGTTGGGTCAGTCGACGGAACGGCATGTGACGTATAACGTAGACACACGGTTGATGTGAGGTACCTTTCAAACGTAACTTACCCGGTATTTATTACCACCTAAATATTAAACTATCTACACCAAATCAGTTGTTCTCAATCATTTGAGCTGCGATAGAACCGCGCTCGCTTCTGCGTTAACCTGCACCACACGACGTCGCTGTGACAGGCAGAACGTAAACATTTTCCCCGCCGTCACATAACTCCAGAATCTGTGACCCACGGCGGAAACCCTGTCACATGGAACATACAGGCATCGCATGACGACAAGTTATAAGACATCTGCTTTCCGCCACCATGTCAATTGTACCTTTGGATAATATTATCAAACACTTACACACACACACTCACACACGGAACGCGCTCGCACTTACACACCATATATTTAGAGGTGGAGTTCAGCAGCGTGCAGTAGTACATATGTAAAGAAATCCACAAAATAATGACACAACACGAATTTCGTTATTTAATTATTTTGTGAATATGTCTTTATATGCCATGTGGAATACAGAATACAATATAGAATGTCTCCCTTCTGCGGGCATGGGCAGATTTGATTTTCTGGTTTACTTAATTGTTGCTAAACTCCTTTAGTTTAGTTATCAACACTGACAAATAATGAAGGCTTTAAGTTGACTGCTTGATACAGTTTGCCTCATATGCCCCTTCCTGTGCACATATAGCGGTACAGCACCGTAATGTAGTCAGTTTGTGGCAGGTGTCGCGACCTCAGCTCTAGCGCCTGTTGATGAGCGTAGTTGACTATCTAAACAATGTTGTGGGACAATAGCGACCCCTCCCCTCTGACCCCCAAGCTCACCTGACCCTGCAACGACCCCACCTTTACGACATTGCAGTAATGAACGCTGGTGCCTAAGCATACACGTGGCTGGTTGTAAAACTCCACACACTGCCAAATGCATTGATTTAAGTACCGGCCCAGGTAAGTGTCTGGCACCATAGAAAGCATGCATGATAATGATATCGAAAATCTTTATTTTCAACCCTCATCTCAAGGCTGTAGGGTATGACCATAACGTAAGAAGTCATACCCCCAGTGATGACTGACCTATACTGGAATAAAGTCATACCCCCAGTGATGACTGACCTATATTGGAATAAACTTTGCAATATTGGTAATTGTTGTCATGATAAAATATTTGTCATTTGAAGAATATTTTAATCAACTTTTTGCTTGGAAGCAAAAGACTATGCTACCTGACGTCGCTCAGTACCACCTCTACAATAAGAAAGAGTAATAGATCAACCCATCCTTGTTATCTAAACGTGTCCATTGTTTCCCCAGATTCTGGACCCGCCACCCAGCTGGCAGCAGACCCCCAGCCTGCATCGACCGCCACAGTCGCAAGTCAGCACCAGCCACACATGTCCAGTACTTCAGACTGCGCCCGTAGGGTGGGGGTGAACGTACAAGGGGGTGGTCCTCCTCTCAGAACTGTTCCTCTAGAAAGGGCTATGGCAGGCCAGCTGGAATTGCGCCCCCCTGCTGGGTTCAAAGAGCGTGATATCACTGATGATGATGTTGGTGTCGTGATGGAGGCAGGTAGGCAGTCCAACAACGACGATGTCGACAATGTTGTGACACGTGATGGTGATGCGGCCATTGATATGAGAGATAACATAACGCACACTGCTGGATTAGATGCTACAAGTTTTGATTCACCCGGTGGTAAAGGGGCTATTACGTCACCGAGTGCCCCTGTCCCACAACTGCCGCTACCCTCGACTGACGGCGCCAGCGACAAAGGGGATACGACGGGGAGTAATAACATTTATCTCCCTGGAGCTCCGGATAATACCGCTACTGATGTCACATCACAGACAAGTGATAGTTCAGGTATTATAAAGCTGGCCTTTGATCGTGTAAAGAATGGTCCAACTGGAGGTGGGGTACAGTCGTCAACGTCCGAGTCTGAGACAAGTTCCTCCAGTGGCAGTGGTTTCAGGAAGCATAAAACTAAACTGAAGATAGAAAAACCTAAGAGAAAAGGGAAAGACAAGACAAGCAAGGACATGAAAAAGGACATAGTAGTGGAGCCCAGTCAAACATCAAAATCAAACCTTTCTCCAAGTCTGCCGAATGTGAAGGATCCCGAACCACCTGTGGGCATTCGACAAGCTGAAAAGGTGGAGAATATTTCAAAAAGTGTCAATGATCGACGGCCCGAACATCTCGATGCAGGTACTACTACCTGTCTGGATCCAGGTGGACCATCCCAGGTAACAGGACACGTGACAAGTAATGACGGAGTTAGAGTTTCTGGAATTGGTATAAAGGCTCCAGAGCTTAAGGCCGGATCTGAGGTGAAGGTCAATGCACCAGATGTTGGTCCTCCAACTATAAGTATTCAAGGTGAGGTAAGTGGCAACTCTCGTGTTGAGGGAAATGCCAACGCCCCTCAACAAACGGTGCACGTTCCAATACCCGTCCCTGACCTCTCAGCTGGCAGCCCGGGGGATGCACCTCGCCCCCACCTGTCATTGAAAGACAGAGGCATGAGTTCGGACAGCGAGAGCAGCTTCTCCTCCACGGATGACATCAGGAAGAAGACGGGGAAGAAGCACAGGTTCAGTAACTATAGCCGTGAGGGGACCCGTGACAGGTCTCTGTCACCCTTCATCCCCCTGGCCTCACACTCCCCACTAAACGTGTCACAGACACTAGCAGCCACATCCAACTCCAATCTGAATGGATTCGACAAGCTCGATGCCTCGTTCACCCACTCCACACCATCTAGGGCCATGGAGGCCGACGTGCCAGCGATTGTCCGTCATCGTGGTCATTTTGTTGTGGTTGCCATAGATTTCGGAACCACCTTTAGTGGGTATGCACTGAGTTTCGTCCGTGATCCTGAGAGCGTGCATATGATGCGGAACTGGGAGGGGGGTGACCCCGGGGTCATCAACCAGAAGACCCCCACCACGATCCTCCTCAACCCCGAAGGACACCTAGACTCTTTCGGATTTACAGCCCGAGATCGATACCACAATCTGACCCCGGATGAGGCCAGGAAGTGGATGTACTTTGAGAGGTTCAAGATGGTGCTCCACCATAATGCAGTGAGTATGCTATAGCAGCTAACATTTATCTACAGCACAGGTACAAAATCCCCGTACAGTCCCATACAGCGTGTACTGTCACAGAGTGGCACGTCTTCAAAAGCGATCGTATGATGGAGCATTTGTAACAAATAACTGCAGTTAGTGTATGAATGTAATGATTAAGAATTCAATATCTTGCACGGAAATAGTCAAGTATAGTGTCAAAATCTAAAATCTATTACAATGTATACTATACTGCTATTTTCATGTTTGTCACACCAAACGCCTATATTTAAAAGTTTGAATTTTCGATGCCTCAGTTGACATGGTAAGTGGGACTCTCGCCTATACACAGTCATGTTATGGAGTACAAGGCGTGCATGGGAATATTGGATTGTCTAGGGGGATTTTAACCTAATAGGCATGACTTGTGGTGGTTCTCATGTCGCACGAGATCAGAGAGCGAGGGTTGGGCACAACAACGCCATTGCAGATTATTGGATGTATTTGCACTATCGCCAATATGATTAATAAATTTATCTAATTATTGTTTAAAACAATCATGTAGTGTTCTTACATGCCCAGTTTGTTTGGGTTTGATAATGCACCTGTACACATGATACAATGGCATTGTTTCTCAGCCGGCACATTCTTAGCGTTACACCAATGATGGCAGACAGCGGACGGGCTGTTAGATCGGAGTCATGTCTGTTACTGAAGATTGAATGTTATCTGTTTGATGATGTACTTATTTACGTGGAATCAATTTTAAGCAAATCCAAACAGTTTGGCTTTCTATACTCTCAAAGTCCAGCTTACAGTAGAAGGGCATTTTTTGCAGTCACCAGTCATAACCAAGGTATTTAATGCAAAGGCAAAATAACTTTCAAAAAATGAAATTCTAGCGTTGCCTTAATCTTAGTAAATGACAGCGTGAAGAGAGCACACATTGAATTTTCAGAGCAGTAGGGAGCATTGGAAAATCGAGGGTCAAACACTTTTTCACTGTAATTAATACTATATACGTACTGTACACATGTACATACTGATTGGAGGCACATGACGTATGTGTTCCAGATAAGCTATATTTTGCATAAGCGATACTTCATCCATTGAGAAATTAGAATAATGATTGCCTCGTGGTATTTATGGCATTGGTAATGTGATCGAGGAATGTTCAAATGTAAAAGTTTATTGTCATAAAGATCCAGGTATCCTATACGTCTATTCACATTTTTCAGGTGAACACTTTCAGTTGCCTTTGCATGTGATTGTGAAATGTAAATTACTTTTGTACAGATTTCTTTAGACTAAAGACATGTTGTTTTTGTTGCGTTTCTATGCACATACGTACATACATGACCCTTGAATTACCGGAAGAATGTACTTGCATGCATCTTTTTAAGGACGCATTTGTAGCAGGCTGGTCACGTGATTCTACAGGACGTGGGACAGGGTGAGGTCAAAGTTGGGTGTTTGTAGCACACATATATGTCAACCAGTAGAAGGATATGGTGATTGTTTGTCAGGGGACATAGTTTTGTTCCTATATATGAAGTAAGAATAAACGTATATGTGCATTTGAGAGGTCATCTTCCAAAGGCAAGGAAGTTAGGTGACAATATAAGTACAGCTTCCATCCTTGCCGACCTAGGAATATCTGAGCTGGCTGTACTGACGAGTTGATCCAGAAGTCAATATAAATCGACATCCTGTGCGTAAAGCATGGCGACTGACATGTAGATATCGGGCGGTTGCAGTACTCCAAATTATGTGCACCGTCAACAGATACTAGTAATCAACATTGTTGTGTTCCAATCCCCATGAAGTGGGTGTCTGTGAGGTAGGCAGCGTTCGAAATTAACGTCGGTCCTTAGGCCCGAATCCGATTGAAACCCCTCGGACCCACAGCTTTTGTTTTCTGCAGGTCTTTATGGCCGACATCTTTTTTCATAATTAAGAGTATTATTTTTCAGGAAATATCATTCGGTAGTTTCTAGTTGTTGTTTTTCTCGATCAGCAGCTGTTGTCTGGAAGTGAAACGACTTTCATTGTCGAGGAGCAGTTTAGATTACTGAGATATGATCATTCTTCAACTCGGTTTGTTAGTTGTCACATTGTATGTTTGCTGGGAATTACTTATATTGTAGCTATAATATAGGGCCTACTCAGTCTGATGGGTCCTAATTAGGGCCTACAGCTTTTCAGAGTTAAGGGCAAACACTGGCGGTAGGACTGCACCCGGAACTGCTTTTCTGATACCATGTATCTTCCTAAACACAGGGATGAGATCACACACACACCGAATGGTTACCAAATATGAGGTTCACTCAACATATCATATATTTGACTCATATGTCACAACGCTATGAAGTACATGTATTGGTTTAGCTTGCCAAGGTGATTCAGATTACAACCAAGTGTATCGCGTATGATAACTGAAGAACATGGTTTGGAAAAGATATATAGTGCTTCCGATAGTTGACGGTAAACATCTAGATAACTCTTGGACATGAATTTACACGCAGCCATTGCCATTTGGTTGAGTGAATGTTCTTTTACGTCACAGTCAGTACACTTTCTGCTGTGTCATGGCGTTATGTACATACTCGAGTCTGGTAAAAGCTTTGTCTCAATCAACGAGGAATGGTCCACACGGTGTTACACAAATAAGCTTAGTTGCAAGTTATTATCCGCGATCCGCAATGCAGTTGGTCCTTTTCTCAAACCTGGAGCCTAGACAAACTTGCATTACAGGGAGCACATTCTGTCCAGAAACAAGCATGAAGTACTGAGAGCCTGTTCCGTTCAGAATCCTCACAGGAAGACAAGAATACGGTATTGGTATTCTATTATGTTAAGAATCCCCTCAGGAAGACAAGAATACGGTATTGGTATTCTATTATGTTAAGAATCCCCTCAGGAAGACAAGAATACGGTATTGGTATTCTATTATGTTAAGAATCCCCTCAGCAAGACAAGAATACGGTACTGGTATTCTATTATGTTAAGAATCCCCTCAGGAAGACAAGAATACGGTACTAGTATTCTATTATGTTAAGAATCCTCTCAGGAAGACAAGAATACGGTATTGGTATTCTATTATGTTAAGAATCCCCTCAGCAAGACAAGAATACGGTACTGGTATTCTATTATGTTAAGAATCCCCTCAGGAAGACAAGAATACGGTACTAGTATTCTATTATGTTAAGAATCCTCTCAGGAAGACAAGAATACTGTATTGGTAGCGATTTCTGCCATTTACTATATGTATGTGAAGTGTCTATCATCTCAGAAAGTCATGTAATGATATAATGATTCTACGTCTTTCTGTGATATTCTTGATCGGGCCTCCTGGTAAGCACATATATAAGTAAGCTGTTGGCAAGATAATCTAGACTATGGGAGTCTGGGGACATGGGTGTGACCTGTGTTGGGGTACAGTAGGTCACCAGACAATGTACATGTCCGATGTGGTATGTGAGCTGGCATTCCACCAGTCGGGAAGGCAGGAAGATGATGTCATCATTTTTCTTACAACCATTGTTCTGTATCTCAGCTTAATCAAGTTTACTAACACATCCTTACTCGTTCGGGTTAATTATCACCAGCGTTTGCACGTGTCATCTATATATGTCGTATAAAATTGTTAATGCCAGAGAATTTACTGCAATGGCATTGAAACAGATATACAACAACTGATTGCATGTCAAAGAAATCTCAGAATCTAATCTTTCACGTTGATAACAAAATAACATTTATAGCGCATTAGTGTCTCAGTAAAGTCTCATTGCCTCATTCTGACAACCTGAGCAGAAAACAATGTAAGTGATGAGTCTTCATAGGTTAGTGGTGAAAAAATAGCAATTCAAATGTCACGCTGGCGCATCGTGTTATACCAGAAAATGACAAGCAATAACACTATGATAAAATGAGACAAAATCTATCGGATAGAAGAAATGCATCTGATTTTATGACCGCTTCATAACATATTTTCACAATCAACACTGCAAGACTCGACAACAAACACAGGTGATATCAACAACACTCGATTGATTTTTGACTCTATGAAATCGCACTTTGTGCCGATATATACAATTCAAAATTGTCATAATACAGTGAGACAAATCATTGCCAAAGGGACACCTCGGTGAGTCTTTTCGTCGCGTAACAAAGACGCGCGTGTGTGTGCTATAAGTAAACAATGTCTGAAATTGTTGCTTTGAAAAAAACACCCCAGTCGTTTTTGTTGTGTTTAAGAGTATTTTTTTAACGCCATTGCATTTAAAAATGCACTAAGGAAACCTATCACCTCCTTTCACAGACGTGATCAAATTGACAATCGTACCACGTTGGGAGATTTTAAATCAGTTTGGTCTTACAATAATGTAATTTGAAACACTGCATGTTTATGCCCTAGATATTAGATATAAGTGTGTTAGATTCAAACACGCTTAAGGCACTGACAAAGTGTGCAATCATAACAATTGCTGATACATGTTGTCATAGCATTATATAGCTGAGCACTACCTGATTCCAAACCATCGTCTATAGGTCATTGTTTCAATACTTGACCCGTGCCAACAGAAGGGAACACTATATATGTTACAGTCAATCTTTCAATTGACCAAATGACTGGTTTGACAGATTGACTGTAACATATATACTGGACAAAAATAGTTAGGGATATATGTACATAATGAAATTATGAAGAATGATCTATTTATCAATTGACACACTGATAAATTATCAATCATAAAAATACCAATATCCCTAACTTATTTTGTCCAGTATATATATGGGTATTGCTGATGTCTATTGTGTGCAGGACCTGACCAAGGACACGATGCTGAAGGCGAGCAATGGTGAGTTGTTCCCCGCCCTGAAGGTCTTCGCCCTGGCCCTCCGCTTCTTCAAGGAACACGCCCTTCAGCAGCTTTCTGACCAGTCAGGGATAACCGTCATTAACGATGACGTCAGATGGGTCATCACGGTCCCAGCCATCTGGAAGGCTCCAGCCAAGCAGTTCATGAGACAAGCTGCATATGAGGTTAGACATGTCAGCTGTTTCAGTGCCTTGCCCCTGTACCATCGCTCCGGTTACACCACATGCATAGTTTCAATACAGCAGCATTAGTATCTTTGACGTACTAATAACATGTGACCTGTGAACATCCGGGTTAGAATGGGTCTCAGCAACGAATGCTTGTCGTAAGAGGCGACTAACGGCATCGGGTGATCAGGCAGTCTGACTTGGTTGACACATGCCATTGTATACCAATTGCGTAAATCGATGCTCATGCTGTTGATCACTGGATTGTCTGGTCCAGACTCGATTATTTACAGACCACTGGAATATTGCTGAGAGCGGCAACTAATAACATGTTTTGCAGGGACAGTAGGTATCATCAATACCCTCGAATATAGGTGACATTTAAACTGGGTAACACCATGCATCACTTTGGGCTGTCGTTCACGGGAGGTTCATACGGTAATATGAATCTGAAATATTGTTGGAACAGGTGTCAGAATGTCACTATGTTGCCTCCACGTGTTCCAGGCTGACCTCGTCTCCCCCGACTGTCCTGATCAGCTTCTCATTGCTCTTGAGCCGGAAGCTGCCTCCATTTATTGTCGCAAACTGCGCATGTACCAACTGATCCCTGAGTACCCAGAGAGGCGCCCCCTACAGCCGCCAAGATACTCTCTGCCGGAACCTCTGAACGACGGCCTTGCCTGTACAGATGTCAGGGACGGTATGGACAATTACACCATGGCGTACTCACATAATAAGCATACTAGAGAAAACACTTGTATATTGTGTACTGCTAAACGATAACAACTGACATGCAAATATCAATCATGCCTTTTTATTCTAGCAACTTCTAAAGGCGTTTTATGCCTTCTAGCTTTAACATCTTTCTTCATAATTCCATATATTACCTTCGTCAATACTTATTTATTCAACTACCCATATTTCAATATGAAACTCGCCGTGCTCCTTGCAGATGTTGCCCGTCCCCCATTCGATCTGCCCCCCGACCATCCCCTGGAGAGTAAGATTAAAGGTACACTTGCACCTGTCCCAGTACAGGCCCATTCTCACTCCGTGAAGCACGCGTTGTCACTGTAGATCCAGGCTCTTTGTCACTGAAATATCTCACTTTCACTACTACAACCACCTCGCCAACTCACCGTCACCCATGAAATCATCTCACCATTTCACCTCAACTCATACAATGATCCAACAACTTCACTGTCACAGCTACATCATACAGTTATCTCACCTCAACTCATACAATGATCTAACAACTTCACTGTCACAGCTACATCATACAGTTATCTCACCTCAACTCATACAATGATCTAACAACTTCACTGTCACAGCTACATCATACAGTTATCTCACCTCAACTCATACAATGATCTAACAACTTCACTGTCACAGCTACATCATACAGTTATCTCACCTCAACTCATACAATGATCCGACAACTTCAAAGTCACAGCTACATCATACAGTTATCTCACCTCAACTCATACAATGATCCAACGACTTCACTGTCACAGCTACATCATACAGTTATCTCACCTTCACTCATACATGTCACCATTGAAGGTCTTCAAACTGGCTAATCTCAGTTCTTGAATCAGGAATAGTATGGGAAGATGGCAGGACATCGGTGTTTTCGAAATGTATCCAATCCACACATGACAAGAATATAATATGCTAGTCAGACTGAATCGACCTTTGTACAACCAGCCTCCGAGAATCTTCCCTTTCGGCAAATATCTCGAACAATAAGCCTGTAATCTCAATAAATGTCGCTCGACATCACTCGAGATTGTACCCCTAATACAATCACTGACGTGGAGTAAAATATATTTCCATGGTCTCTATAACAATGTAACTGACTTTACACATGCAGCAACTCTCCATCAACCATTACACATACAACCTTCTTACAATCCACCACTATACACACAGCAACTCTCCATCAACCATTACACAAACAACCTTCTTACAATCCACCACTATACAAACAGCAACTCTCCATCAACCATTACACAAACAACCTTCTTACAATCCACCACTATACATACAGCAACTCACCAGCAACCATAACACACACAACCTTCTTACAATCCACCACTATACACACAGCAACTCTCCATCAACCATTACACAAACAATCTTCTTACAATCCACCACTATACACACAGCAACTCTCCGTCAACCATTACACAAACAACCTTCTTACAATCTACCACTATACATACAGCAACTCACCATCAACCATTACACAAACAACCTTCTTACAATCCACCACTATACACACAGCAACTCTCCATCAACCATTACACAAACAACCTTCTTACAATCCACCACTGCACATACAGCAACTCACCAGCAACCATAACACACACAACCTTCTTACAATCTACCACTATACACACAGCAACTCTCCATCAACCATTACACATACAACCTTCTTACAATCTACCACTATACATACAGCAACTCTCCATCAACCATTACACAAACAACCTTCTTACAATCTACCACTATACACACAGCAACTCTCCATCAACCATTACACATACAACCTTCTTACAATCCACCACTATACACACAGCAACTCTCCATCAACCATTACACAAACAACCTTCTTACAATCTACCACTATACACACAGCAACTCTCCATCAACCATTACACAAACAACCTTCTTACAATCCACCACTATACATACAGCAACTCTCCATCAACCATTACACATACAACCTTCTTACAATCCACCACTATACATACAGCAACTCTCCATCAACCATTACACAAACAACCTTCTTACAATCCACCACTATACATACAGCAACTCACCAGCAACCATTACACAAACAACCTTCTTACAATCTACCACTATACACAGAGCAACTCTCCATCAACCATTACACAAACAACCTTCTTACAATCCACCACTATACATACAGCAACTCTCCATCAACCATAACACAAACAACCTTCTTACAATCCACCACTATACATACAGCAACTCTCCATCAACCATTACACAAACAACCTTCTTACAATCTACCACTACTATATTACACACACTCAGCAACTCTCCATCAATCATTACACAAACAACCTTCTTACAATCCACCACTATACACACAGCAACTCACCAGCAACCATTACACAAACAACCTTCTTACAATCCACCAATATACACACAGCAACTCACCAGCAACCATTACACAAACAACCTTCTTACAATCTACCACTATACACATAGCAACTCTCCATCAACCATTACACAAACAACCTTCTTACAATCCACCAATATACATACAGCAACTCTCCATCAACCATAACACAAACAACCTTCTTACAATCCACCACTATACATACAGCAACTCTCCATCAACCATTACACAAACAACCTTCTTACAATCCACCACTATACACACAGCAACTCTCCATCAACCATTACACAAACAACCTTCTTACAATCCACCACTATACATACAGCAACTCTCCATCAATCATTACACATACAACCTTCTTCCAATCAACCACTATACATACAGCAACTCACCAGCAACCATAACACATACAACCTTCTTACAATCTACCACTATACACACAGCAACTCACCATCAATCATTACACAAACAACCTTCTTACAATCCACCACTATACACACAGCAACTCACCAGCAACCATTACACAAACAACCTTCTTACAATCCACCACTATACATACAGCAACTCTCCATCAACCATTACACAAACAACCTTCTTACAATCCACCACTATACATACAGCAACTCTCCATCAACCATTACACAAACAACCTTCTTACAATCCACCACTATACATACAGCAACTCACCATCAATCATTACACAAACAACCTTCTTACAATCCACCACTATACATACAGCAACTCTCCATCAATCATTACACAAACAACCTTCTTACAATCCACCACTATACACACAGCAACTCACCATCAACCATTACACAAACAACCTTCTTACAATCCACCACTATACATACAGCAACTCTTACCATCAACTCATTATTACACAAACAACCTTCTTACAATCCACCACTATACATACAGCAACTCACCATCAATCATTACACAAACAACCTTCTTACAATCCACCACTATACATACAGCAACTCACCATCAACCATTACACAAACAACCTTCTTACAATCCACCACTATACATACAGCAACTCTCCATCAACCATTACACAAACAACCTTCTTACAATCCACCACTATACACAATCATTACAACCTTCTTACAGCAGCTCACCAGCAACCATTACACAAACAACCTTCTTACAATCCACCACTATACACACAGCAACTCTCCATCAACCATTACACAAACAACCTTCTTACAATCCACCACTATACACACAGCAACTCTCCATCAACCATTACACAAACAATCTTCTTACAATCCACCACTATACATACAGCAACTCACCATCAACCATTACACAAACAACCTTCTTACAATCCACCACTATACATACAGCAACTCACCATCAATCATTACACAAACAACCTTCTTACAATCCACCACTATACATACAGCAACTCTCCATCAACCGTTACACATACAACCTTCTTACAATCCACTACTGTACATACAGCAACTCTCCATCAACCATTACACAAACAATCTTCTTACAATCCACCACTATACATACAGCAACTCTCCATCAACCATTACACAAACAATCTTCTTACAATCCACCACTGTACGTACAGCAACTCACCATCAACCATTACACAAACAATCTTCTTACAATCCACCACTATACATACAGCAACTTCCTCATCAACCATTACACATACAACCTTCTTACAATGCACCACTCTACAAACAGCAACTCACCATCAACCATTACACAAACAATCTTCTTACAATCCACCACTATACAAACAGCAACTCTCCATCAACCATTACACATACAACCTTCTTACAATCCACCGCTATACATACAGCACCTCACCATCAACCATTACACATACAACCTTCTTACAATCTACCTCACCATCAACCATTACACATACAACCTTCTTAGAATCTACCTCACCATCAACCATTACACATACAACCTTCTTACAATCTACCTCACCATCAACCACTGCACATTAAATCATGACACCGTCTACCATACTTTTTTATGCAACTAACTGGTGATCTACAACCATACATGACACCATCTCACCATCCACCTAACCATGTCACCTTCTTGTTCATATATGAACTGTGGTCAGTTTGAGTTCGGGGCACGGTAGATGTAGCTAGATTGTTCACCGAATGATATGAAAATAGCGATGAGGCACAAGGTCAGAGAGTAGATGAAACACAGGGGTCAGTGAGAGTAGACGAGACACAAGGTCAGGGAGTAGAGGAAACACAGGGGTCATTGAGAGAAGATGAAACACAGGGGACAGTGAGAGTAGATGAGACACAGGGGTCAGTGAGAGTAGATGAGACACATGGGTCAGTGAGAGTAAATCAGACACAGGGGTCAGTGGGAGTAGATGAGACACAGGTGTCAGTGAGAGTAGATGAGACACGGGGGTCAGTGAGAGTAGATGAGACACGGGGATCAGTGAGAGTAGATGAGACACAGGGGTCAGTGAGAATAGATGAAACAAATGGTTCAGTGAGAGTAGATGAGACACGGGGGCCAGTGAGAGTAGATGAGACACGGGGGTCAGTGAGAGTAGATGAAACACATGGGTCAGTGAGAGTAGATGAGATACATGGGTCAGTGAGAATAGATTAGACACGGGGCTCAGTGAGAGTAGATGAGACACGGGGGTCAGTGAGAGTAGATAAGACACAGGGTCAGTGAGAGAGATGAGGCACGGGGACAGATAGAGACACAGGGGGCCAGTGAGAGTAGATGAGGCACGGGGATGACAGTGAGAGTAGATGAGATACAGGGTCAGGAGAATAGATTAGAACACAGGGGTCAGTGAGAGTAGATGAGACACGGGGTCAGTGAGAGTAGAGGAAACACAGGGGTCATTGAGAGTAGATGAGACACAGGAGGACAGGGGTGAGAGAAGATGAAACACAGGGGACAGTGAGTAGATGAGACACATGGGTCAGTCAGAGTAAATCAGACACAGGGGTCAGTGGGAGTAGATGAGACACAGGTGTCAGTGAGAGTAGATGAGACACGGGGGTCAGTGAGAGTAGATGAGACACGGGGATCAGTGAGAGTAGATGAGACACAGGGGTCAGTGAGAATAGATGAAACAAATGGTTCAGTGAGAGTAGATAAGACACAGGGTCAGTGAGAGTAGATGAGACACAGGGGTCAGTGAGAGTAGATGAGACACAGGGGTCAGTGAGAGTAGATGAGACACGGGGTCAGTGAGAGTAGATGAGACGGAGGGGTCAGTGAGAGTAGATGAGACACGGGGGTCAGTGAGAGTAGATGAGACACGGGGGTCAGTGAGAGAAGACGAGACACACGGGTCAGTGAGAGTATATGAGACACAGGAACAGTGAGAGTAGATGAGACACATGGATCAGTGAGAGTAGATGAGACACAGGGGTCAGTGAGAGTAGATGAGACACGGGGGTCAGTGAGAGAGGACGAGACACATGGGTCAGTGAGAGTAGATGAGACACATGGGTCAGTGAGAGTAGATGAGACACAGGGGTCAGTGAGAGTAGATAAGACACGGGGGTCAGTGAGAGTGATGAAACACATGGGTCAGTGAGAGTAGACGAGACACAGGGGTCAGTGAGAGTAGATGAGACACAGGGGTCAGTGAGAGTAGATAAGACACGGGAGTCAGTGAGAGTAGATGAGACACAGGGGTCAGTGAGAGTAGATGAGATACATGGGTCAGTGAGAATAGATTTGACACAGGGGTCAGTGAGAGTAGATAAGACACGGGGGTCAGTGAGAGTAGATAAGACACGGGGGTCAGTGAGAGTAGATGAGACACGGGGGCCAGTGAGAGTAGATGAGACACGGGGGTCAGTGAGAGTAGATAAGACACGGGGGTCAGTGAGAGTAGATGAGTCACAGGGGTCAGTGAGAGTAGATGAAACACAGGGTACAGTGAGAGTAGATGAGACACGGGGTCAGTGAGAGAAGATGAGACACGGGGGTCAGTGAGAGTAGATGAGACACGGGGGACAGTGAGAGTAGATGAGACACGGGTGTCAGTGAGAGTAGACGAGACACAGGGGTCAGTGAGAGTAGATGAGACACAGGGGTCAGTGAGAGTATATGAGACACAGGGTCAGTAAGAGTAGATGAGACACAGGGGTCAGTGAGAGTAGATGAGACACGGGGGTCAGTGAGAGAAGATGAGACACGGGGGTCAGTGAGAGTAGATGAGACACGGGGGACAGTGAGAGTAGATGAGACACGGGTGTCAGTGAGAGTAGACGAGACACAGGGGTTAGTGAGAGTAGACGAGACACAGGGGTCAGTGAGAGTAAATAAGACACAGGGGTCAGTGAGAGTAGATGAGACACAGGGTCAGTGAGAGTAGATGAGACACAGGGGTCAGTGAGAGTAGATGAGACACGGGGTCAGTGAGAGAAGATGAGACACGGGGGTCAGTGAGAGTAGATGAGACACGGGTGTCAGTGAGAGTAGATGAGACACGGGTGTCAGTGAGAGTAGACGAGACACAGGGGTCAGTGAGAGTAGATGAAACACAGGGGACAGTGAGAGTAGATGAGACACGGGGGTCAGTGAGAGTAGATGAGACACAGGGGTCAGTGAGAGTAGATGAAACACAGGGGTCAGTGATAGTAGATGAAACACAGGGTACAGTGAGAGTAGATGAGACACGGGGTCAGTGAGAGAGATGGAGAGACACGGGGGTCAGTGAGAGTAGATGAGACACGGGGACAGTGAGAGTAGATGAAACACAGGGTACAGTGAGAGTAGATGAGACACGGGGTCAGTGAGAGAAGATGAGACACGGGGGTCAGTGAGAGTAGATGAGACACGGGGGACAGTGAGAGTAGATGAGACACGGGTGTCAGTGAGAGTAGACGAGACACAGGGGTCAGTGAGAGTAGATGAGACACAGGGGTCAGTGAGAGTATATGAGACACAGGGTCAGTAAGAGTAGATGAGACACAGGGGTCAGTGAGAGTAGATGAGACACGGGGGTCAGTGAGAGAGATGAGACACAGGGGTCAGTGAGAGGTAGATGAGACACGGGGGACAGTGAGAGTAGATGAGACACGGGTGTCAGTGAGAGTAGACGAGACACAGGGGTTAGTGAGAGTAGACGAGACACAGGGGTCAGTGAGAGTAAATAAGACACAGGGGTCAGTGAGAGTAGATGAGACACAGGGTCAGTGAGAGTAGATGAGACACAGGGGTCAGTGAGAGTAGATGAGACACGGGGTCAGTGAGAGAAGATGAGACACGGGGGTCAGTGAGAGTAGATGAGACACGGGTGTCAGTGAGAGTAGATGAGACACGGGTGTCAGTGAGAGTAGACGAGACACAGGGGTCAGTGAGAGTAGATGAAACACAGGGGACAGTGAGAGTAGATGAGACACGGGGTCAGTGAGAGTAGATGAGACACAGGGGTCAGTGAGAGTAGATGAAACACAGGGGTCAGTGATAGTAGATGAAACACAGGGTACAGTGAGAGTAGATGAGACACGGGGTCAGTGAGAGAAGATGAGACACGGGGGTCAGTGAGAGTAGATGAGACACGGGGGACAGTGAGAGTAGATGAGACACGGGTGTCAGTGAGAGTAGACGAGACACAGGGGTCAGTGAGAGTAGATGAGACACAGGGGTCAGTGAGAGTATATGAGACACAGGGTCAGTGAGAGTATATGAGACACAGGGGTCAGTGAGAGTAGATGAGACACAGGGGTCAGTGAGAATAGATGAGACACGGGGGTCAGAGAAAGTAGATGAGACACAGGGGTCAGTGAGAGAAGACGAGACACAGGGGTCAGTGAGAGTAGATAAGACACAGGAACAGTGAGAGTAGATGAGACACAGGGTCAGTGAGAGTAGATGAGACACAGGGGTCAGTGAGAGTAGATAAGACACAGGGGTCAGTAAGAGTAGACGAGACACAAGGTCAGGGAGTATATGAGACACAGGGGTCAGTGAGAGTAGATGAGACACAGTGGTCAGTGAGAATAGACGAGACACAGGGGACAGTGAGAGTAGATGAGACACAGGGGTCAGTGAGAGTAGATGAGACACAGGGGGTCAGTGAGAGTAGATGAGACACAAGGTCAGGGAGTAGATGAGACACAGGGGTCAGTGAGAGTAGATGAGACACAGGGGTCAGTGAGAGTAGATGAAACACAGGGGTCAGTGAGAGTAGATGAAACACAGGGTACAGTGAGAGTAGATGAGACACGGGGTCAGTGAGAGAAAGATGAGACACGGGGTCAGTGAGTAGATGAGACACGGGGGACAGTGAGAGTAGATGAGACACGGGGTGTCAGTGAGAGTAGACGAGACACAGGGGTCAGTGAGAGTAGATGAGACACAGGGGTCAGTGAGAGTATTTGAGACACAGGGTCAGTGAGAGTATATGAGACACAGGGGTCAGTGAGAGTAGATGAGACACAGGGGTCAGTGAGAATAGATGAGACACGGGGGTCAGTGAAAGTAGATGAGACACAGGGGTCAGTGAGAGAAGACGAGACACAGGGGTCAGTGAGAGTAGATAAGACACAGGAACAGTGAGAGTAGATGAGACACAGGGTCAGTGAGAGTAGATGAGACACAGGGGTCAGTGAGAGTAGATAAGACACAGGGGTCAGTAAGAGTAGACGAGACACAAGGTCAGGGAGTATATGAGACACAGGGGTCAGTGAGAGTAGATGAGACACAGTGGTCAGTGAGAATAGACGAGACACAGGGGACAGTGAGAGTAGATGAGACACAGGGGTCAGTGAGAGTAGATGAGACACAGGGGGTCAGTGAGAGTAGATGAGACACAAGGTCAGGGAGTAGATGAGACACAGGGGTCAGTGAGAGTAGATGAGACACAGGGGTCAGTGAGAGTAGACGAGACACAGGGGACAGTGAGAGTAGATGAGACACAGGGGTCAGTGAGAATGATGAGACACGGGGGTCAGTGAGAGTAGATGAGACACGGGGTCAGTGAGAGTAGATGAGACACAGGGGTCAGTGAGAGTAGATGAGACACATGGGTCAGTGAGAGTAGATAGACACAGGGGTCAGTGAGAGTAGATGAGACACAGGTGTCAGTGAGAGTAGATGAGTCACAGGGGTCAGTGAGTGAGCTTGTTGCATAAGGGGAGAGATGTTCTGATATAATCAAGTTGGAACCTGACACTCACTCGAGCCTCTGATTTCATCAAGAGAGGATAGGATCACTGTGTTGACGCCACGTGAAATCATCTATCCAACTTGCCCTGTTTTATGCATGATATTTACCCATTTATGTTTTATCCTAAAAGTCGCTTTTCACTAGTTTATTAAGGTGTTATTGAGGTGTCATTTCAGTCACTTCTCACGGTGCTGTTTCAATCCACTTATATTAATTCGTTGTTTTGTCGACGTCCCTTACTGTATCAGTAAATATGAATATCAGTGATTCTGTAGTATTATTGTCAGAGTTTCACTTTACCTGCAGATCAGAAGTTAAAATTCTGAAAGAACATGTACATGTGTATTATTAAAGGACTGTTCGTGTATAAGACATCGCTCTAGTATATGCAGCGTTGTGCAATACCTGGGACCAAAGAACAATTATCCTAATATTACAACACAATGAGAAAACACCCACTGTTGTATTTTCCCTACAGGAACCCGGTACATGGTTGTGGACTGTGGAGGCGGGACAGTGGACATCACGGTGCATGAACTAGGGAACGACAACAAACTGACGGAACTGTACAAGGCTACCGGAGGACCTTATGGTGCAACAGGTGTGGTCCCAAACACGGTTGACATGACACTGGTGCAAAGTATAAGGGAGTACAAAGGGGTTCATGAGACAATGGATCTATTGACAGAATCACAGTACTTGACATGAATATTTGAAAATATCAGTTCAGGTAACTCAGTATGTTGTTTCGAGCTATCTTATCGCACATTATATTGAGATGAGTGAATGAGTGAGTATGGTTTTACGCCACTTTTAACAATATTCCAGCAATATCACGGCGGGGGGACACCAGAAATGGGCTTCGCACATTGTACCCATGTGTGTAATCGAACCCGGGTCTTCGGCGTGACGAGCGAACGCTTTAACCACTAGGCTACCCCACCCCTTACATTGAGATGAGATTCGCCAGGACATATCTAGGAACAGTAAATAGTGTTACACATGTATATACTCTTGCAGCTGTGGACGATGAGTTTGTGAACCTGCTGTGTGATATTTTCGGACACGACTTCATCGCCCACTACCAAGCCAAGTACCCAGTCGGATGGGTCAACCTCATGATCAACTTCGAGTCCCGGAAACGTTCCGCCAGCCCCTACAAGAACAATTCACTCAACGTGTCCCTGCCGTTCACATTCATTGACTACTTCAAAAAGCAGAAGGTAAACATACACACTTCGTCCTTTACATGAGTAGTACATGGGCCCTGCAGTTTATGGGGGTTTAATAAACCCAAGCGAACTGCCAATCATTGGGTATCAAGAATATGTCATGTCAAACAAAATCCAGAATTCACATATCTATACATGGCATATCACATTGTTATCGCATAGGGTGGTGTTATGATTCTGAACTAGACACAGAAATATCTACTTCAATCGTCATGCTGTGAGAGGGGGTTAACATACATTCAGTGGTACTCCTGCAAAAGGAAGGGGTTAGCATGCATCCTGATATTGTCCTTCAGGGTGAAGAGGGTTAACATACATCCTGATATTGTCCTTCAGGGTGAAAAGGGTTAACACACTTTCAGTGGCACTCCTGCAAGAGGAAGGGGTTAACATGCATCCTGATGTTGTCCTTCAGGGTGAAGAGGGTTAACACACTTTCAGTGGCACTCCTGCAAGAGGAAGGGGTTAACATACATCCTGATATTGTCCTTCAGGGTGAAGAGAGTTAACACACTTTCAGTGGCACTCCTGCAAGAGGAAGGGGTTAACATGCATCCTGATATTGTCCTTCAGGGTGATGAGATGTAACACACTTTCAGTGGCACTCCTGCAAGAGGAAGGGGTTAACATACATCCTGATATTGTCCTTCAGGGTGATGAGATGTAACATACATCCTGATATTGTCCTTCAGGGTGATGAGATGTAACATACATCCTGATATTGTCCTTCAGGGTGATGAGATGTAACATACATCCTGATATTGTCCTTCAGGGTGATGAGATGTAACATACATCCTGATATTGTCCTTCAGGGTGATGAGATGTAACATACATCCTGATATTGTCCTTCAGGGTGATGAGATGTAACATACATTCAGTGACGACATGAACGTTATGCTGCAGGGTGGTCACATCGACAGTGTTGTCAAGCGCTACGGCAACAAGGAGATCTGCTGGTCGTCCGAGGGTATGCTGCGGCTCAGTCCACACGCCATGAGATGTCTCTTCGTCCCCGTCATGGAGAAGATTAAACACGCCATCGGTGACGTCCTCAATAATCCGGACGCCAGACGTAAGTCACGTTCCTGTGTGGGTCGTTCTTGTGTGGGTCGTTCATGTCCCACGTATGTTCTGTTTGCGTTTAGATGACAGTCGTTTACACAAAATACCGACCTAAGGTATGATCACGACAATGCGCATTTTATGTATTATTCGAATTATTTGTGTTATTGTGTTACAGATCTGAAATTCCTGTTTCTTGTGGGAGGATTCGCCGAGTCCGCCACATTGCAGTATGAAGTCCGCAAGGAATTCTCCCCTATCCTTAAAGTTCTCATTCCCACTGGCGTCAGCCTGGCCATACTCAAAGGTATTTCAACACCCAGCCCTTATATGAAACAGCCGACACAGTATTACTCGCTAGACGTCAGTGTAACTCTCAAATCACTCCATTAATTAAAATGTCGGTTACCCTTAAGAACATTTGAGAGTACATTTTCGAAAAACATTTGAACTTCTTTTAGCATAGGCCTAGTTGCTGAAAGCGAAAACGTACAAATATTGCAGATGCAATTACACTGTTGAACATGATATTGGAAATTTGTAACATATATATTTTTACAGGTTTTGAATAGTTTCGTGAATCAATTTTCATATATATTATTTACAGGCGCAGTGCTGTTTGGCCTTGACCCAACAGTTGTTAACGTCAGAAGGTCACGGTTAACGTATGGAGTTGGCGTTCTTAACCGATTCACCCCGTCCTGTCATCCAACTAGCAAGCTGGTCCACAGAGAAGGCGTTGATTGGTGCACTGATGTGTTCGACGTGTTTGTTCATGACGATCAACCAATCACATTAGGTGTGTTATTGTGTTACAGATCTGAAATTCCTGTTTCTGGTGGGAGGATTCGCCGAGTCCGCCATATTGCAGTATGAAGTCCGCAAGGAATTCTCCCCTATCCTTAAAGTTCTCATTCCCACTGGCGTCAGCCTGGCCATACTCAAAGGTATTTCAACACCCAGCCCTTATATGAAACAGCCGACACAGTATTACTCGCTAGACGTCAGTGTAACTCTCAAATCACTCCATTAATTAAAATGTCGGTTACCCTTAAGAACATTTGAGAGTACATTTTCGAAAAACATTTGAACTTCTTTTAGCATAGGCCTAGTTGCTGAAAGCGAAACGTACAAATATTGCAGATGCAATTACACTGTTGAACATGATATTGGAAATTTGTAACATATATATTTTTACAGGTTTTGAATAGTTTCGTGAATCAATTTTCATATATATTATTTACAGGCGCAGTGCTGTTTGGCCTTGACCCAACAGTTGTTAACGTCAGAAGGTCACGGTTAACGTATGGAGTTGGCGTTCTTAACCGATTCACCCCGTCCCGTCATCCAACTAGCAAGCTGGTCCACAGAGAAGGCGTTGATTGGTGCACTGATGTGTTCGACGTGTTTGTTCATGACGATCAACCAATCACATTAGGCGACACAGTTATTCGCAGTTACACGCCTGCAAAGGCCAATCAGATGGTTAGTGTCATACATATCTACTCGAGTGACAGTAAAGATTCAGCCTTCATCACAGACCCTGGTGTGAGGAAGTGCGGCACTTTATGCCTGGACTTGTCGGATGAGGATGCTGATCACCTGCCTAGCCGACGTGAGATCCAAGCTAGGATGATGTTCGGAGATACGGAGATCAAAGTGAGCGCCTTGGATGTTGCTACGGGGAAATGTGTCCGAGCTAGCATAGACTTCCTCAATAAGTGATATACTTCACATCTAACTTAATTAACTGTACCGAGTTGTTAACTATTCAGGTGGGCGTAATTCGAGGTACTGATCCGTGTAATTATTGCGTCTTGACTACATTGTGTAGAGGTGAGGATTCCAGGTTATTTTGTGTCAGTGAACGTAACAGTTATTATATGTGACCAGAGACAAGTGTGTTGTTGTGGGACAGATCTGAAATTCCTGTTTCTGGTGGGAGGATTCGCCGAGTCCGCCATCTTGCAGTATGAAGTCCGCAAGGAATTCTCTCCTATTCTTAAAGTGATCATTCCCACTGGCGTCCCAGTGTTTGATAGGACATTGGTCAGAGGACGTCCTTGTATTATTATAGACTTCCTGCATCTTCATGTTGGTTCCACGATGACACTGATGCCAGCTATCCTTTACAGTTGATTATTTTCATTACACCACACTACCGTCAAAGTTTAGTCAAGAATGTTTCCCCCTAACCTTCGATACTGGAATTATGACAGCAATAGCATTAAACTGTTCACGACGGGGCTGTGTGTCAGGCGCACTGATGTCAAATATCTTCACATCATCCACTGTCGATTTTGAAAGTGATTACATTATTTTACCATTGCATCTCAAATGAAACAAAGTTTGCATGAAAATACCATCCTTGTACTTCTATATGTGGGTGAAACATTAGCTGGGCGGTAGTTTAAGGATACAGCCTTATGTCCATGTTACCTTGTTGTGGTACTATATAGTGTGTACATCTAGTATTGGGACTGTTGGAGCTGGTCTATGTTGGCTAATATAGCATTCAACATGCCAACATTTGCCTGTATTATATATTCTCGTATGACAATAAACAACTATTTTATAGAATATTTCGTCTGAATATCTCCGTCTTGATACAGCAAATATGTCTATAGTCAACACTGACTGGAGTGTGTGCCAAGGTGCGGGTTTCTAACTACTTTTCAGCCAAGCTTACAACCTTTCACAAAGACAGCAGGCTACAGAAGGGATATACCTTTTCCGTAACACAAATCGCTTCAAGGGTCAATTTAATATTATAGAGGCGCTTCCGACAAATCTTGTTCCAAAGACGTTTCAAACATTACACTGACAAAACGAAATGTGGTTTTGCCTGCCTTTAGGGTCATGTGACTGTTCCGTAGGCTGCCTTTAGGGTCATGTGACTGTTCTGTAGACTGCCTTTAGGGTCATGAGAGTGTGTTGAGACTTTTATTCCTCAAGTAAGTAAATTTGGGCTCGCTTGACCCCATTTATTTTCTGACAACATCTTCCTCTCATTGTAATCTAGTTCAATCTCATATAAGGAGATTGATACAATACATTTTGTGTCTTAAAAATGTTGTTGCCATGACTACTAAGTCAATAAAAGGACAAATACTGAAGTTTGGAATTGAACCATTTATTTCCCATGTACATGAACGATGGACATAACAACCAAATACATTTCCTTGTATATCTACCTTCTTCATTTCCTGGAGATTGTGGCAATAAATTGATGATGCTCTGTGCTAATGATTCCATAGAAATATATACAACTGAAACAGGGAAACGCACACAGACAAACAATCAGTTCTGCCAAAGTGAGTGAGTGAGTTTGGTTTTACGCGCTTTTAGCAATATTCCAGCAATATCACGGCGGTCTGCCAAAGTAACCGTTATTGGATAACTAAATAAAATCAAGAAACACATGACCAAATGGATTTGTTGGTTTGACTAGATAAAGTGATACACCTCATGGTTTGCTAAATTTCCTTGCTTACATGGTTACAGAAGAGAGTATCACAGACATTATAGCTTTTGAAAGTGTATTGATTTCCATACGGGGTATTAAAGGTAAGAGTAAAAACTGTATGTGGTGCCACCTTAATATTCTGAAGCATAGAGTCCTGCTTTAGTTATTTTAAGGGAACAAGAATTCTTTTCACAGGAATGACAAATTGTTCATATGCAAATTATTATTAAGCAATTGATTCAACCATTTTATGTGAAGAATGAGCATAAATATTTGTCTACACTGACATCAGACATGAGTCATAGTACATGTCCTTGGTCAGTGGAATGTCGAAGTCATCCTAGATACTTGGACTGCTCTGCTACAAGTATAACAGATCCTTAACCACTGATTCCATCCAGGATGAAAGGTGTTGCCATAGCAACATCCTTCAGGCATGGTTTACAGCTACAGATGTCTATATACAGTTGCACAGCCAGTTTGTTCATTGTCAGACTCTGTGGGTTATCTGGAAGTAAAGCATCAATTGTACATCAACATGATCAAACTCAAGACAAAACTTGTAGCCTGTGTTAGCCTGATTAACACTTGTATAAGAAACAGCATTAGAAATGGCCCAATATACTGCTTCACAAGCCTCATTTCAAGTGAGTGAGTGAGTAATACGCTGCGCTCGGCAATATTCCAACTATATGGGGGCGGTCTGTAAACAATCGAGTCAGGACCAGACAATATAGTGATCAACATAATGAGCATCGATCTATGCAATTTGGATACGATGACACGTGTCAACCAAGTCAGCGAGTTTGACCACCTGATCCCGTGAGTCGCCTTTTACAACAAGCATGGGATACTGAAGATCAATTCTAACCCAGATCTTCACGGGCCTCATTTCATGTGAGCTCAAAGTCATATGCAGTAATGTAAGAAAAGTGTCGTCATGTAGCCTAATGTCTTCTCTAAACAAGATCAAACCACTGATGGTTCTCTCAGTTCAGACATTCTATCCTATCGACCATACAGACATTTATTTTTTTCATGGAATGGCCAAGCCCCACTCCATTATGTCCACACATCAAGTATATAGCAAACATGAAGTTTCCAACATTGGTTACAAACACAAACAAGGTGTTTTCCCCACACATGTGTGTTGTTGGTGTGCTGTTCACGGTATATTTCATGATACCAAACATCTATATTCTTGTAAACTGTGTGGTGCTGAGATACGTATGTGTTGCATCAGCCTTGCCACAAACTACAGTGACTACAGGGTGGGGAGGTAAGGTGCTGTGCTTATTATGAGGAGTGCGTTGGTGGAGTTGGCTGCCAATGATATCTGGAAACTGTTGATGGAGTAATATAAACAAGTTTCTTGGTAAGAAAGCTTTTCCTCCAACCGTATATCAATGATGAACTGTAATCATGGTAAAATGGAATTGTATTGGTACTCATGGTAATGCACCAGGAGATATATAGGTACACCATGGTAATGCAGCTGGAGATGTCTTGGTAATAATGGTAATGCAGCTGGAGATGTCTTGGCAACCATGGTAATGCAGCTGGAGATGTATTGGTAATAATGGTAATGCAGCTGGAGATGTATTGGCAACCATGGTAATGCATGTGTTGGTATTTATGGTAATGTAGTGTTGGAAATAGGAAACCAAATCCACTATCGATTATCGGAGGATTGTGGTGAACGATTATCGATTATAATTGAAATATAAACATTTTTAATGTAATCACCTATTTTAAGGGTTTTTCCACATTTTTTTTCTAATTAATGTTGGTATTTTTTTATAACTAATGCTGTCATGCAATGAAATGCATGCATGCAAGAAAGACACTGGAATTGTAATTAAACAATAAAAGTGTTAAAATTTTACAATGTGCATAGCTTTACGCCGTTGAGCACGTTTGTTTGTGAATATTCATCAAATTTGATGGTTAGTTTACTTCATTCAAGGGTGCTATACAAAAACAACAAAATTCTGATTAATCGAAAATATGCTTTTTTACAATCGATAATCATTTTTAATCCTTCTTTCGATCGATTTTCGATCATTGGAACATCACTACTGGTAATGTACCAAATATTGAACAACCTACCAATTCCACTCATGTTGTATGACCTGCAGTAGGTCGCCCTTCAGCTGGGGTCCAAACAAGGGGTTCAGCTGGCAGATGTAAGCTGTAAGCCAGCTGTGGACAGAACAACAATAATGTAATCATTATTATTATTCCAAGGATCAGTTTGGAGTAGAATGTATTTGATGAGACAATCAATTGAATACATGCATGATTTTAGGTCATATATAAAAATGTCACAAATACATCCTGAGCGAGTGTGAGGGTTGGGTTTTAAGCTTTTTCAAAGCTATATTACAGCAGGGACACCCGAAATGGGCTTCAAAGTAATCAAACATTGTACCCATATGGGGAAATCAAACCTGGGCCTTTGGTGTGATGATAAAACACTTCAACAACCAGGTTACACCACTGTTCCCCTTCCCCAAACAGCTGGATGGTCATCCAGCAAGTCTACACACGAAAACAAGGTTTTGGGCAGTTTATAAAATTTGACCATAGCAATTTTATCGTTATGTACAACATCACTACCTATACATGCTGTAATAACCATGTTGAACAGTTGTGTGACGAAAATGATGAAACTGATCAAGGTGACAATTGTGGGTGGATAGCCTGAAGTGAAGCATGTTTCGGACATTTACCACTTTAGTGAAGCCAACAAGCAGACAAGTCCAGAAACATACTTTGAGCAAACAATGACTGCTGGTGTGGCCACAGGACACAACTCTTGAATATGATGCCATTCACTCTCAAGGATACTTACAACACATAACAGCACACTGCGCTCAGCACCAGCATAATCTGAAGAATTCTGAAACATTAAAATAATGGTGAGTGACTTTAGTTTTACCCCGCTTTTAGCAATATTTCATTTCCAGCAATATTATGGCGGGGGACACCAGACCAGAAACGGGCTTCACACATTGTACCCATGTGGGGAATCGAACCTGGGTCTTCGGCATGATGAGCGAACGCTTTAACCACTAGACTACCCTATCACCCCATAAGTTAATTATGACAAATGAACATGATTAAAGACTGAAAAACAAGACGACAGTTTCCAACATCCCCTCATTGCATCCTTACAATGTCTATACACTAATATAGTATCTATGAAAATGATAGTCACCAGTCATATCTAGCATAAAGAAATACGAAAGGTTTGGATTTGTAAAAAGAAACCTAAGCCAATTTGGAGTTCAGTCTTGGACAGTTATGCAAAATCAAATGATATATTTTTGCATTTTTCATAAATTCCAGAGCAGCAAAAATATACTGCTTTTAAGTTGTAGGCTCTTAAAAGACAAACCAAACCCACCATTAAGAGTGACATGAAATGTGTCGGTTTCTTTCAGCATATTATTTCTCCAATATTTAACAATAATCAATGATCATCAACAGCCAGGCCTAAAATATACTTACCAAAAATATTTAGTCAAACATGACAACAGGTAGCCACTTTTCTCTACAAGTTTGCAACTTGATAAAAATTGTACTGATCTTGACCAAATTGAATTTATTCAATAGCAGATATGAGACAATCACTCCCCAACTAACCGTCAGGATTGTTAAGGGATGTTTTCCTGATCCTAATGTTTGAAGAGGGTGCTTGATCATAAAGGGAATCTAAGAACTAAGGATAATAACCAAACCTAACTGTAACAAATCTAATCTTAAAGAGTGATGAGGCAGCTGATACTAGTGAAGTCAGAGCTGATGACTGTAGCCTGAGCCAGTTTTTGCTATAACTCCATCTGGTAAACAGCATTCTTGCTTACATATTTACGGGACTGGCTTCACTCACCAGGTACTAATGATCAAGCTGACGGTAATAATGAAATGTTAACTTGTACTTACATGTATTTACCCTAAGTTCATATTCATAACCTTGCATAATTCTGCCATTACTATGTGTACTGCAGCATTTTGTCTTTTTCTTATGGCTCACGAATCATTTTCACAGACATTTAACATACAGTATGCTTAACTGTTGACAGTTATAACAAAATTATCAAAAGAAGGTATTTATTATTGTATGGGTTTATAAAATCCAGAAATGAGATGTTAATGATTATACGAGTATGGCTGTTTGTATGTAACCACGATCACAAGATCAGGTGTCCATGAGTGCACATATAGACATCTCGACAACACAGATATCCGTCTCACAGCCCGGTCATTCAATGACATACTGTCACCATCACGAGCATATCAACTGATTTTACGATTTGTGGTTTTTGCCACTTTCAGTATCTTCATTTTCCAATCTTACCCTTTGTTTGGTGATCTCCACATAAAGAATTGGACTAGAATGGGCAAAACAATGCCTATAAAGGCCCAAACAGCCGTCACAATCCCAACAACAACTGGAGTGTCCATCTTCTCTCAATGATATGACCCGGAAGTATCTTGCATCACATGACTAGAAGTAGAACTCCCCGCAGCGACTAAACTGGGCGACTTGCTTGGAATTCGTGTGCGCAATATGCTTTCAGTGGAAAGTAGTAAACGAGACGAATCTAAGTTCGTTATGACATTTTTAAAAAATATATTTATTGCCATAAAATTATTTTATCTGGTCATGGGGGCAATGTAAGCATGTGAACGATTACCATGGATTATATGTTTTTTATCGTATTAACATTTGTGCGCAAAAATATATAATGACGTCATCATCACGTGACATAAACATTATCACATGTTTGTTTCGATTCGCGTAAGATTCTTCAGGATGACACACGAACGAATGCTCAGCTGAAAGACTGAATGAATTAAAACATGTTTAATGTAACACTATCCAATGATTTGAAAATATGCACTTGTGTAGAAATAAGGCCTTGTTAGTATTAGATGCTATTTCCGAGTTTTGTCATGTCATGTAATAATATTTCAAGTCAATTTACCTAAGACAAACAATATTACTTTAAAACACATTTATTTGAAACTGTAAACAAAATCAGTCGCACTTTACCTTTGTTAAATTTTAGAATCCACTTAGGCAGTACATACATTCAATCATTACTTTAGTACACAGCAATTGTACATATATTTTTATGCAGCAATGAAGTCTGTATCCTACATTACAAACAGCATCTTTAGGCAACTATAAATTGCATACAATACAAAGGTTGCTACACATCCATGTTTGGCATTATAAACCTACACCTGTGTATTTCTCATCATTCACTTGGGGCGGTGGGGGTAGCCTAATGGTTAAAGCGTTGGCTCATCACGCCGAAGACCCGGGTTCGAATCCCCACATGGGCACAATGTGTGACGCCCATTTTTGGTGTCCCCTGCCGTGATGTTGCTGGAATATTGCTAAAAGCGGCGTAAAACCAAACTCACTCAGTCATCATTCACTTGATGCTCAGGTAATGACTTTATAACTGGCATAATTAGTGTTAACACCACTCCGATTACCTGACAAAGGTTCCCATTTGGCATTTTTCATGTCTGGGGTAATTAATTAACCATATAAATTTAGGTCTGATGTGCAAATGTTTTAAATGTTATATGCACACGAAGAGAGAATACATGTATATCAGCTGAGTTAAAAAGCATTGATCAAAGAATGAACTAATGATACATTGCATGATTACTCACTGTTATCTTGCACAGGGGATTTGTTAAACTTACTGTTTATTTATGCATGTTAATTTACACAGAGCGAATGCACCAATATTTTGTCGTAAAGTGCCTATGTAAAAACAATGTCCTTTATTCAACTGATAATACATTGATTGATTGCATATTGTTGGCTTACTAAATGGGTTTTTTTTTAAGAGGATGTTAAACATCATGAAAATAGTTGTCATGTGTGCTATGTCTGCTTAAATGGGCCTTTCATGGAAGTGAAAAACCTAATACAAAGTAATGTGATCACTTGAGAAACTAACACTATCTTAGAATAAAACTGTTACAATATTAGAATGTTAAAAGACATGGAACACATTTCTTTGTCAGTTCCTTTATTTGAATATTGATGGATACATTCTTCTAACAAAGTAACTCCTTGATATTATTCATATAACTTTTGTCAGTGGATTTTACAGTATTGGCATTTTGTTTTCATTCCTTTGAGGCAGCATTGAACAGAATCATTCCTCTTCATTATGTTATCATTTCAAACTTCGTCAACGCAAAACTGACCACACCTAGTCACTGTTTTCACAAACCTTTTCATTGTAGGCCTGGATGTGTAAAATATGATTCACTTTGGCAGTTTACAACCTGCCTATTTACAGTCATTTTATAAATTCACTGAAAACCCCCAGATTGAATGAATGTTTTTAACAAAGAGAATTGCCGTGGATCAGTGCCCCTTTAATATTCATGAGAATTCATGAGAATGACCAGTGAATTCCAGACCCAGAACTACACTAGCAATGTCGTGACAGTTTAAATCTGGGGATCCATGACCACTTTCAACAAAGTCCAACTCACAAAATGGTCCACAGTTAATGGCCCATGAACAAATGACTGTCAGATGTGCTAAAAATCCCAAGAAAGGACAATTTGACCAATTCTGAATTTGACTGACATACACTCACCAACCCACTAATTTCACTCACCATCACACTCACTAATCCTCTCACTCACCAACCCACTCACTCACCAATCTAATCACTCACTCATCAATCCACTCCCTCACTAACCCACTCACTCACTACACTAGCCCCCTCACTCATCAACCCACTCACTAATCTCACTCACCAACCCACTCACTCACCAACCCACTACACTAGCCCCCTCACTCATCGTCCCACTCACTAATCTCACTCACCAACACACTCACTCATCAACCCACTCACTCACTCACTCACTAGCCCCCTCACTCATCAACCCACTCACTAATCTCACTCACTAACCCACTCACTCACCAATCTACTCACTCATCAACCCACTCACTAATCTCACTCACTAACCCACTCACTCACCAATCTACTCACTCACTCATCAACCCACTCACTCACTAACCCACTCACTCACTCACTAGCCCCCTCACTCATCAACCCACTCACTAATCTCACTCACCAACCCACTCACTAATCTCACGCACCAGCCCACTCACTCACTACACTAGCCCCCTCACTCATCAACCCACTCACTCACTAACCCACCCACCAACCCACTCACTCACCAATCCACTCACTCACTCTCACTCACTAACCCACCCACCAACCAACTCATTAATCTCACTCACCAACCCACTCACTCACTTCACTAGCACACTCACTAACTAACCCACCCACCAACCAACTCACTCACCAACCCACTCACTCACTCTCACTCACTAACCCACCCACCAACCAACTCACTCACTCTCACTCACTACCAACCCACTCACTGATCTCACCCACCATCCCACTCACTCACTTCACTAGCCCCCTCACTCATCAACCCACTCACTCACTAACCCACCCAATCACTCACCAACCCACTCACTCACTCTCACTCACTAACCCACTCACTCACTTCACTAGCACACTCACTCATCAACCCACTCACTCACTCACTAACCCACCCACCAACCCACTCACTCACCTACCAACTCACTCACTCTCACTCACTAACCCACTCACTCACTTCACTAGCACACTCACTCACGAACCCACTCGCTCACTACCCCACACACCAACCAACTCACTCACTCACCAACCCACTCACTCACTCTCACTCACTAACCCACCCACCAACCAACTCACTCACTCACTCACTCTCACTCACTACCAACCCACTCACTCTCTCACTACCAACCCACTCACTCTCTCTCTACTAGCACACCTCACTAACCAACCCACTTCAAGCCACTAACCCACCCACCAACCAACTCACTCACCAACCCACTCACTCTCTCTCTACTAACTAACCCACCCACCAACCAACTCTCTCACTCTCACTCACTACCAACCCACTCACTAATCTCACCCACCAACCCACTCACTCTCACTACACTAGCCCCTCACTCATCAACCCACTCACTACTAACCCACCCACCAACCAACTCACTCACTCTCACTCACTAACCCACTCCACTCACTTCACTAGCACACTCACTCACGAACCCACTCTGGCTACTAACCAGCCCACCAACCAACTCACACACCAACCCCACTCACTCACTCACTCTCACTCACTAACCCACCCACCAACCAACTCACTCACTCTCACTCACTACCAGCCCACTCATTAATCTCACCCACCAACCCACTCACTAACCCACCTACCAACCAACTCACTCACTCTCACTCAATAACCCACCCACCAACCCACTCACTAATCTCACTCACCAACTCACTCACCCACCAACCCACTCACTCACTTCACTAGCACACTCACTCACTGACCCACTCACTCACCAGCCCACTCACTCACTTACCCTCTCACTCACCAATCCACTCACTATACTAGCTCCCTCACTCATCAACTCACTCACTCCTACTCAGTAAGCCACTCACTCACCAGTCCATTCACTCACTACCCCAGTCACTAACCCTCTATCTCACCAACCCACTAATTTCACTCACCAACCCACTCACTCACTCACCAACCCACTCACTCACTAATTTCACTCACCAACCCACTCACTCACTAATCTCACTAGCCCCCTCACTCATCAATCCACTCACTCACTAACCCTCTCACTCACCAATCCACTCACTATACTAGCTCCCTCACTCATCAACTCACTCACTCCTACTCAGTAACCCACTCACTCACCAGTCCATTCACTCACTACCCCAGTCACTAACCCTCTATCTCACCAACCCACTCACTAGCCCACTCACTCACCAACTCACTCACTAATTTCACTCACCAACCCACTCACTTACCCACTCACTCACCAACTCACTCACTAATTTCACTCACCCACCCCACTCACTCACTAATCTCACTAGCCCCCTCACTCATCAATCCACTCACTCACTAACCCTCTCACTCACCAATCCACTCACTATACTAGCTCCCTCACTCATCAACTCACTCACTCATCTAACTCAAGAACCCACTCACTCACCAGTCCACTCACTCACTACCCCAGTCACTAACCCTCTCACTCACCAACCCACTCACTAACCCACTCACTCACTAATCTCACTCACCAACCCACTCACTCACTAATCTCACTCACCAACCCACTCACTTACTAATCTCACTCAACAACCCAATCACTATAACCAACCCACTCACTCATCAACCCAATCACTAATCCAGTCACCAACCCACTCATTCACTCATACTAATATTGCCTGTATCTATGAAGGTCATGTATGTGCTGGCACGGTGCAGGTCAGCTATAGCTCAAGCCCAGCTGTCACATCCCAGAAGGGTCAACAGTGAGACAGAATCACTGTGCTCCAGCACTCCAATGCACCATGCTGTACAGGAATGTAGTCCAACTTTGTCGGTCAGGGAGGGACATGGTCACATGTGGTCAGTTGTCTGTTAGAGGATCAGGTAGAAAGCAGTCTGTGGACAGTTTTAGCAGCAGTGGACAGCGGTCAACCCACACGGACAGCCTCAAGTCCCAGTATGATGTAGTAGTGATTGGTGCAGGTATGTGTCTGAGTGGCTGAAGCCCCGGTTGTTGTGGGCATGGGTCCAACATTACTCAGGTACCACAGACATTTACCCCAGGTAGACGTTTCTGTGTACAGAAAGGTACACTAAACAAAGTCCAAATACAGAAACGTACCCGCTATCCATATTCTGCAACCCAAAACTGAAACCGTATGTAGTTGTTCCTTTTCAACTGTTTGCAAATGGTGTTATGCATCACAAAATATTCATTACTGTGTATGCTCGTTTCTTACATAACACAATCAAATGCATGTAATACAACAGTATGACAGTTCCGATCAAGAAAACAGTGCAATGCAGAATGAACTCGTCCTATATACAGAAACATACCTGGGGTACATGTCTGTAGCACCAGCGCCGACAACGCCCCCTTCAGCTTAAGACTCCAATGTTGGGTGAGGCTTTGTTTTGTATTTTGATTTTTGGGAAAATATTTACATGATGGTTCACCTGAAATATTAAGAATAATTTTAACAGAAATATATTCATTTCCTGAAATATGTCTTACGGGATATAATAGTAATACATCTGTACTTCTATTCCATGTAATGTTTGTTTATTTGTGTGCATACTGTTTGCTCAAGTCTATGTACATACATGTATATGTCTTTTCCATTATTTTCCAGGCCACAATGGACTGGTGTCTGTAAGTACTAAGTATTGTGTGGGGAACGTATATACGTCTTTGAAAATATGAAAGCTCTACAGAATTCTGGGAGTTTGAGCGTCTATGAGCGTGGGAAGTAAAGGTTTGGGAGAGAGTGAGCACAAGAACAGTGTTATTTTTTAAAATTTCTACAGAAGTCAGGCTTGACATGTGTTGTGACAAGAATTACAGTACTAGTACTACTGTTATGTTTACAGGCAGCCTACCTACAGAAGTCAGGCTTGACATGTGTTGTGACAAGAATTACAGTACTAGTTATGCTGTTATGTTGACAGGCAGCCTACCTACAGAAGTCAGGCTTGACATGTGTTGTGACAAGAATTACAGTACTAGTACTGCTGTTATGTTGACAGGCAGCCTACCTACAGAAGTCAGTATTGACATGTGTTGTGACAAGAATTACAGTACTAGTACTGCTGTTATGTTGACAGGCAGCCTACCTACAGAAGTCAGTATTGACATGTGTTGTGACAAGAATTACAGTACTAGTACTGCTGTTATGTTGACAGGCAGCCAACCTACAGAAGCCGGGATCTTCACACGTGTAATGACAATTACAGTACTAGTACTGCTGTTTACAGTCAGCCTGCCTACAGAAGGCGGGGCCTGACATGTGTTATGTCAAGAATTACAGTACTAGTACTGTTATGTTTACAGGCAGCCTATCTACAGAAGGCGGGGCTTGATGTGTGTGTGGTGGAACGGAGACACGTCATAGGAGGCGCTGCAGTTACAGAGGAAATCATTCCAGGTCTGCTCACAGCAACAGTGTATCACCTTCTCACCAGATACTGACAATGTGTTGCAGTTTGTTCCCAGCAGTCTTCCAGACAGCTGTGGCCTGGTGGTATCAGTGCTGACTGAGGAGGAATGTTCCAGGTGGTATAGTGGTTAACACTTACATTGGTTGGCCTGCAGTGAGGCTAACTATGACATGCCACTTGCTTGCTCGCTCACTCACCAACCCATTCACTCACTAACCCACTCGCTCACTAACCCACCCACTCACCAACCTACCCACTCACCAACCCACTCACTCACTAACCTACCCACTCACTAACCCACCCACTCACCAACCTACCCACTCACTAACCCACTCACTCACTAACCTACCCACTCACTAACCCACTCACTCACCAACCTACCCACTCACCAACCCACCCACTCACTAACCTACCCTCTCACCAACCTACCCACTCACCAACCCACTCCACTCACTACTACCACTAACCCAACCACTCACCACCCACCCACTCACTAACCCACCCACTCCACTAACCTACCCATTCACTAACCCCACCCACTCACTAACCCACTCCACTCACTCACTAACCCACCCAATCACCAACCCACTCCACTCACTAACCCACCCACTCACTAACCCACCCACTCACTAACCCACCCACTCACTAACCTACCCATTCACTCACTAACCCACTCCACTCACTAACCCACCCACTCACCAACCCACTCACTCACTAACCCACCCACTCACTAACCCACCCACTCACTAACCTACCCACTCACTCACTAACCCACTCACTCACTAACCCACCCAATCACTAACCCACCCACTCACCAACCCACTCACTCACCAACCCACTCACTCACAAACCTAACCACTTACCAACCCACTCACTCACTAACCTACCCTCTCACCAACCCACCACTCACTCACTAACCTACTCACTCACTAACCTACTCACTCACTAACCTACTCACTCACTAACCTACTCACTCACTAACCTACTCCACTCACTAACCCACCCACTCACTAACCTACTCACTCACTCACCCACCTCACTCACTAACCTACCCACTCACTAACCTACTCACTCACTAACCCTACTCACTCACTAACCTACTCACCACAACCCACTCACTCACCAACCCTAACCCTACTCACTAACCTACTCACTCACTAACCCACTCACTCACTAACCCACTCACTCACTAACCTACTCACTCACCAACCCACTCACTCACTAACCTACTCACTCACTAACCTACTCACTCTCACCAACCTACTCACTCACTAACCTACCCACTCACTAACCTGCTCACTCACTAACCCACCCACTCACTAACCTACTCACTCACTTAACCCACCCACTCACTAACCTACTCACTCTCACTAACCTACTCACTCACTAACCTACTCCACTCACTAACCTACTCACTCACTAACCTACCCACTCACTAACCCACCCACTCACTAACCTACTCCACTCACTAACCCACCCACTCACTAACCTACTCACTCACTAACCCACCCACTCACTAACCTACTCACTCACAACCCACTCACTCAATAACCTACTCACTCACTAACCTACTCACTCACTCACTCACTACCTACTCACTCACAACCCACCCACTCACTAACCTACTCACTCCACTAACCTACCCACTCTCAACCTACCTACTCCTCTCACCAACCCACTCACTCACTTACCTACTCACTCACTAACCTACTCTCACTCACTAACCCTCTCACTCCACCAACTCACTCACTAACCTACTCACTCACTAACCTAACCACTCACCAACCCACTCACTCACTCACCTACTCACTCACCAACCCACTCACTCACTAACAACCTACCCACTCACTAACCTACCCTTTCACCAACCCACTCACTCACTAACCTACTCACTCACTAACCTACCCACTCACCAACCCACTCACTCACTAACCTACTCACTCACTAACCTAACCTCTCACCCACCCACTCCTCCTGCTCACTCTAACTCACTCACTAACCTACCCTCTCACCAACCCACTCACTCACTAACCTACCCTCTCACCAACCCACTCACTCACTAACCTACCCTCTCACTCCACCACCCACTCACTCACTAACCTACTCACTCACTAACCTACCCTCTCACCAACCCACTCACTCACTAACCTACTCACTCACTAACCTAACCACTCACTAACCTAACCACTCACCAACCCACCCACTCACTCACTGACCCACTCACTTACCAACCCACTCACTCACTCACCCACGAACCCACTCACTCACCCATCCACCCTTTCATTCACCCATCCACTCACTCACCAACCCACTCAGTCACTCACTCACCCACCCACTCACCCTACCACCCACTCACTAACCAACTCGCTCACTACCCAACTCAATCACTCACTCACTCATAGTACAGTGTAACATGATATATACATATAATTATAAACACATCAATAATCCTGGGGCTCGGAAAGAAGTATTAGAAATTGTAGATTTACCTGGCAACAACCCACACCTATTAAACAAGCACGTCTTGATTTTTTTTTAGTTTCACACAATATAATGAACGCAGTTCACGAAACGGAAATAAATATATGTACAGATCACTCAATTATATCCATAACATTAACAACAACAGAGTTAAGCAGGGGGAAAGGGTTTTGGAAATTTAACAACTCTCTCTTAAAAGATAAAGAATACGTAAGAAAAGTTAAAGATACAATAGGAAATGTAATAAATCTTTATGAAACACCAGAGAAGGGTGAAAATACATACACTATAAATGATCAGCTGCTTTGGGAAATGATTATAATGGAAATAAGAGGAATTACTATTTGGTACTCAGCTACAAAAAAGAAAAAGAGTAAGGAAAATGAACTACGGCTAGAAAAAGACATTGAGAAATTAGAAATACAACTAGATGAAAGTAGTCACTTGTATGAAAAACTAGTAAAAAGAATTAATGAAGCCAAAGAAAAGTTAGAAGAAATTAATTTATTAAAAACCAAAGGTTCCTTTGTAAGGTCAAAAGCTAAATGGATAGAGCAGGGAGAGAAAGCAAGTAAATATTTCCTACATATGGAGCTTAGAAATTTCCTTAATAAATCTATAAATCAAATTGAAACAAAAGCTGGAAATGTAATTAAAAACAGGAAGAAATATTAGAAGAAACTAAAACTTCTATAAAAATTGCATACAAATGAAAGTTGTAGTGAAATTGACTTAGAAGAAACAGTGGGAAAATATGAAGTACCTAAATTGTCTGAGTGTCTCTCAAGTTCACTAGAGGGAGAGCTAACATACTGAAGAACTTTTGTTAGCATTGAAAAAATGAAAAATGAAAAAAGCCCAGGACCAGATGGTATTACATCTGAATTCTTAAAAATTTTCTGGAATGACTTGAATAAGTACCTTTTAAGTTCTCTTAACTATGCTTATAAAGTAGGATCCCTATCAGTAACTCAAAAACAGGGTTTAATTACATGCTTGCCTAAGGATAACAAACCAAGAATATACCTCAAGAATTGGCGACCAATATCACTGTTGAACACTTCATATAAATTGGCATTGGCCGCCATAGCTAATAGAATTAAAAAAATCTTAGAGTTGTTAATAAATGAAAACCAAAAGGGATTTGTGTCAGGCAGATATATAGGGGAAGTCACTAGAAGTATATATGATTTAATGGATTATACTGATACATTTCAGATTCCAGGATTATTATTACTTATAGACTTTGAAAAAGCGTTTGATTCAGTAGATAGAAAATTTATGATAAACGTATTAAGATTCTTCAATTTTGGAGAGAGTATCCAAAAGTGGATTTCCACTTTTTTTACGGATATTGAATCGAGTGTGTTAGTCAATGGTTTCGCAAGCACCTTTTTCCCAGTTACAAGGGGTTGTCGTCAGGGAGATCCAATATCGCCATGTTTTTATATTGTGTGTTGAAATATTGGCTATATTGATAAGAAATGAAAAAAATATTAAGGTATTAGAATGGGCAATATAGAACATATTTTAGAACAATTTGCAGATGATACTACTATGTCTTTGGATGGTCGGAGAAAAGTCTGTATGCTGTTATGAATATTCTTCACTTTTTTGAAAGATTTTCTGGACTTAAGGTTAATGTTGAGAAGACTAAATTAATTTGGATATGGTCAAAAAAGAGATCTAGGTATAAGCTCTGTGAAGAGTGGAATTTGGATTGGAGTCAGACACATTTTAAATTACTGGGTATTAATTTCAGTGTAGATTTAGAAGAAATGGTAAACTTAAATTATAAAGAGAAATTTAAAAATATTGAAAAAGAAATGAAACAATGGTCAATTAGACATTTAATGCCTATGGGTAGAAATACTATTTTGAAATCTTTACTACTACCTAAAATGAATCACTTGTTTGCCTCTTTACCTAACCCTCCAGACGAACAGCTAAATAGTTTTCAGAAGAAATGTTTTAACTTCATATGGCGTGGTAAGATAGATAGGGTCAAGAGAAGTGTCATGACACAACCACCTAAATATGGAGGAATTAAGGTACCTGATCTTAAATCAACTATATTATCACAAAAACTATCATGGATAAAAAGACTTCACAATAAGTCATATTGGGTCAAACATGCTGGAACTTTTATCCCAGGAATAGATACCCTATGGTTGGCGGATTGTTTATATATGAACACTACTTTATTACCATACATTACAAATATTGTTTGGAGGGATGTTGTATCGGCATGGGGTTTGTATCTATCCAAATGCTATGATAAGATTACAAATATGTCAGACATAAAGACTCAATCATTATGGTACAACTCTAATATCTCTATTGGTGGCAAATGGGTTGAATACAGGCACTGGATAGGAAAGGGTATACGTTTTATTAAGGATATGTTCAATGAAAAGGGAGAAATCTATTCCTTTAACAAACTTGTAGAAACATATAATTTAGAAACAAATTTTATCCTATATCAAGGGCTCAAGTCAACAATATCGAGATACATTAAAAGATGTTTGATTAATGATTACAAAGAAAGGATATATGATCCTACTCTCCCATTTAATGTATACAGCATAATCAATACACAAAAGGGTAGTAAAATGTTTTATCAGATTTTATTTGCTCCAGACTTCAGTACAGATGCACTGGAAAAATGTCAAAAGTGTTTGAATAGAATAATTGATAGATCAGAACAAGAAAATATTAATCTGATGTCTTATAGATGTACTGAGAGTGTGAATATGAGATGGTTCCAATTTAAAAAAGTGAATAATATTTTAGCAACAAATAGCTTCTTGTACAAGATAGGAATATCTGAATCACACTTATGTACATTCTGTGGACAAGATTCAGAAACCATGGTACACCTGCTGTTCGCATGCTTTCATGTGAAAAAGATATGGAAGGAAGTAGAAAAATGGCTTAGAACTGTTTCAGAGGGTGAAATGAATTTTTCTCTAGAGAATAATATATTTGGATTTAAAGGCAAACACAATAATCCATTGAATGCTGTAATCTTGGTGGTTAAAGAAGCTATCTATAAAAGAAGCAGAAAAAAGCAAACTCTGAATATTAGACATATTAAAGCAGAAGTCATCAAATATTATGAAGCAACAAAAATGATAGCTTTTTCAAATTGTAATTATGCCAAATTTTTTAGCTTCTGGTCCTCCTTCCATACATTATTTGCCAATAATTAAACTTTTATCAACAGATTTGTGTAACATGTAAACACTTTATATACATGCTTAGTTTGACCATTTACATATTTGTGAACAGCATGATATTCGACAATGCGATCAAGGAAACACTACTTGTATACTATGAGGCCACTTGTACTGTACTGTACTTTTGAGGTAAAGGTAAAATCTGTAAACATGTAACACTCATATGCATGCTTAGTTTGATCATTTTACATATTTATGTACTATGAGGTTACCTGTATTGTACTTTACTGTACTACTGAGATAAAGTCTGTAAACATGTAAATACTTCACGTACATGCTTAGTTAGACCATTTTGCATATTTGTGAACAGCATGATGTTACAGTAAGTGACAAAGGAAACACTGTACTTGTGTACAATGAAACTATTTGTACTGTTCTGTGTACTACCGAGTTAAAATCTGTAAACACGTAACACTTCATATACATGTTTAGTTTTTGACCGTTTTTTTATATATATGTGAACAGCATGTTATTTGACAATGAGATCAAAGAAACACTGTACTTGCATGCTAAGAAGCTACCTGTACTGTACTACTGAGGTAAAGTCTGTAAATATAATTCTGGGAATAAAAAAATGAAAATAAAAAAAAATAAAAAAATGATATATACTAGCCACATAAAGAAACTGTGCACACAGAAAATATAAAGATAGGCAGACAGCGTCTTTATGCATAAATAAAGGTGTGTACAGAGCAAGTATTGGAGACAATCAAATGCTCATGCAGGTGCCAGGCGACGTGACGTCATTGATGGTGGCCTATGGACTTGCTATGTGTTACTGCACATGCAGCCTGTGCAGCTGCACACAACATGTGAAATTCAGAAATTGCTTTCACTGTCGAAAGCTTGATCTTTGGTCATTCAAACGTTCACAAATTCACATGAGAAGTCACATGCACATCATGCCAAGATTAACATGTGCTCAACGTCATGAAGCCATTGGAATGGTTCGAGCAGGCATGAGCCAACAACAGGTGGCAGCACATGTCCAATGCCATCGTAACACGATATCTGCATTGGTCAGGCGTTAGGGAAACAGTAATGACGTCGCCGACCAACCACGTTCTGGGCGTCCCTGAGTAACGACGCCAAGACAGGACAGATGGATTCGGGTGACTCATATCAGACACAGGTTCCAGACGGCAGTGACCACGTCCCAAACCATTCCCCAGGCCTTCATTTGGAAAATTTGGGAGCCTCTATGCATCGTCGATGCACTGCTGTGTGTCACGCGCATGATGGTCATACCCGTTATTGACTTTGTGACTTTGACGTGTGACCCCCGACTCAGTTTTGAACTTCTGACGTCATCGTTACGGATATTGTTCATGTTCTTTTGACATGTTGTTGAGGCCCGATACTTCAGCTTATAAAGTGTCTACATCATGTCATCTTTTCTGTGTTGTAGTCCAATTCTGAAGGAATTGTCTGTGTGCACAGTTTCTTTAGTGGCTAGTATATTACTTATTGGTATATTTTTTGGTATTGAAGAAACATGTCAGTGTCACTTGGACATTCAATGTTTCAGGTTTCAAGTTTTCAAGGGCATCTTATGTATTGAGCTTGTTGCGGCCCAAGATAGTGGAAGACTTACAGCTTAAGGTAAATAATATTGTACAGTAATATTATAAGTTGGGGAAGATTATTGACAGATTATTGCATTGTGATACATGTGGTAATGTGTAGTGACTTTATTGTCAGAGTAATATTGAAAGTGATCACTGAATTCTAATCCAGTCGTTAACCGGTAATCTCATTGCATAAAGTCATACCTGTTAACTCTCTCGCATCTTGTGTGAGACTCGATGTCACACATTCAAGCATTACCTCTCTAAACTCTTGCATTATTGAACATTTTTTAAAAATATTTGTTTTTACAACATAACGTACTATTATACTCATGTGATTTTAGGCTAAAGATCTATTTTCCATCGAGAGACTGTTTTAAAAATATTTCGTGCTCAAGATGTCATGTAATTTTGATTTTGATTTTGATTAAATGATTTGAAGGACATAGTTTTTTGCCTTTAGGACATGCTGAAAATTATGAAATATTTGTTATTTTTTTGGTTTTATTAGTTTGGTTTTTGGCTTATAAACTAGCACCAAATGACATAAAAATCATCTTTAAATAGCCTAAAGAGCAATGTTTTCGGGAAGCGCTTTGTGCCCCCTGCACCGCCCACCAGCACATTGCCCTGGAGCTGACCAGGGGCTGTGTCCCCTGGACCTCAGCTTCTCATTGGAAGTCTCAGGGATTGACAGCTATGTAATGTTATATTTGCACATGTTCATTGTGTTCCCAACTGGTTCCCATGTCACTCTACTAACAAGTTACTAGCCATAGAGATTTTTTCTGGGTTACATCTTCTTTTTATTCTCGAGTACAACGTTTCAGGGCTAAGCTGGCCCCATCATCAGGTAAACTGAACAGTAACACCTGATGATGGGGCCAGAACAAGCCCTGAAACGTTGTACTCGAGAATAAAAAGAAGATGTAACCCAGAAAAAATCTCTATGTTCATCAAATATCACCTTCTAAAATGCCAATCAAGCATCTAAGTTACTAGCCATTTGTATTTTAAGGTACCCGTGAAGGTCCGGGTTAGGCTTGGTTGACACATATCATCGGTTCCCAATTCTGCAGATCAATGCTCATGCTGTTGATGACTGAATTGTCTGGTCCAGACTCGACTATTTACAGACCGCCGCCATATAGCTGGAATATTGCTGAGTACAGCGTAAAACTAAACTCACTCACTCACTTGTATTTAAGTAGGTAATAAAAGTGCACATGCATCTATGTGTGTTGAGCATCTATAACACATTGTAGATGTATGTTTGTGATTGTAAAAGTAGGTTTTTACTACTTTGTACCTACTTCAAGTTCCACATTGTGTAAAGTATGCATACAAGGCCATGCCAGAGAATCAGTGTTCATCAAATTGGTGTTGATAAGTATACTGAACCACAAAAGAAACGTCGCCTTTCAAAATCAAATGCAAAATTTTGTTCTTACAAGGTGGTGTTTTTCTTATGATTGTACCGTTTTGTGAACATGTTTTTCAATCTAAACTGACAATTATTACCAACATCAGTGTGTTATCTGATGAAAAAGCATATCGACCAAACGCACCAAAAAAGGCAGACATGGTAAAAAGACTCCGTATGACATTTGAAAATGAAAATGCATGTGCATGCCATGACACCCTTCCAATGAATCGAGTCCCAAACTCGCTTAAAATCATTTTTGTTTTGACACAATCAGAGGAACCAAGTCTGGGGACGATTGCAAGCTTGTCAGGCTGCATGGAGGGTAGCCAATCATTTTAATGTTCATGTTAGGACAATCTACTGACTGCAGGAGTGGTATCAGGTCACTAACAGCATCCAAGACCGTCCATGCAGTGGACGACCTTCAGTAACATCACAACGTCAAGACCGACAGATTGTGCACAACCATCTGCACGATCGCTTCCCCAGAGTGACGCAAACAGCACGCCAGACCATTGGGACTCACAACAGACCCATCAGTGCCGATACAGTGCGTCAACGTTTTCGCGGAAGAAACCTCTGTTGTCACAGATCATATCGTAGTCCTGTCCTCACTGCTCATCAGTGCCAAAACCGACCAAAATGGGCAGCTCAGTATCGAAATTGGCGTTATCGACAATGGAGAACTGTGCTTTTATCTCATGAAAGCCGATATTGTGTTTCAACAGTCGATGGCAGAGTGAGAGTATGGTGAAGGCGTGGGGGACTGTTTTCCAATGAGTGTATTGTTGAAAGAGACTGGTGGAGTGGTCCAAGCATCATGGTGTGGGGTGCAATTGGTCTGGACCAGTTTGTTGACACCATGGTGTTCCAGAATCTTGGTCCAGGATAAGAAAATGACGTGACAGCTGCTTGCTATTTTGACCAAGTCATAATAGCCCACGTTGTACCACATTTTGGGCGTTACAGAAATCACATCTACCAGCAAGACAACACATGTGCCCACACTGCCAGAGCAACATTGGACTTCCTGAGACAACATGGCATCCAAACCCAACAATAGCCTGCACTCAGTTCGGTTTTAAATCCTATAGAACACCTTGGGGTCAGGATTAAAAAAACCCTGAATGACCTCCAAACAAGGCTGACAACTGCGGCAAGACTCGATCAGGCATTTCGCAGAGTATGGACCTTAGTGCCTATGACCTTCATCAACCGGCTTATTCATTCCATGTACAGACGATGCAACGCTTTTATCGATGTCCATAGAGGCCACACATAATACTGACTTTGGGGTATCTTAATGGTACCATATTTGGTGATTTAGATTGTGTGAACTCTAATTGTGAAAATGTGTTAACCATAATTGTTTGAACTCAATCTTCCGTTTTGATTAATTAGAGTGAATTAAAGTGTGTGCTTTAAGAAACCGCTATCGGTGCGACATTTCTTTTTAGGTTCAGTATATTATTTGGTTTTCAGTATATTGTTACATTGCTAAACTAGGCACCATTTGCATAGAATTATTTTGAAGTCCAAAGGTGAAAGTTTACCTGAAACTGTGGATTGATTGTTACAGAAGTATGGTTTGAAAGTGTACCTGCGTGACCCCAGCTCTTACACTCCCCTAGCAACACCTGGTGGTCGTGATGGCACAGCCAGGTCACTGCTGCTCAGTCGAGATCAAGAGAAGAACAAACAACAGATTGCTCAGTTTTCACATAAAGATGCACAGGTACAAGTATATCCCTTTGTCATAACACTGATCGCAGCACATCTTCAAAATGTTGCATGTTATGATATCTCTGTTGCATATATCGAAGTTGATGATGTTAATCACTGGATTGTGTGGTCCTGGACACAGTCATATAACTGGAATATTATTGTGTGTGGCTATAAACAAATAAACAAACAAATGCTTCCTTGACTTGCACTCAGGCTTTCACTGAGTATGAAGAAACCCTGGATCGTATTGTGACAGCCATGGACCCTTTACTAGACAGCCCACCCTTTCCACTCACTGCATTCAGCTCCGCTTCACTCCGGGAGAAGTGGAACAGCCTACCATCAATAAGGACTCTTCTTGGAGCAGGTAAACTACCCAACTTAACCTCCTAAAGCTCTTCTCTGGATTACGTTGTGTGGGCAGGTGGCTTTGGTTTGAGCTCAGCAGTATTTTCTTCATGTTTAGGTCTGCTATTATGTTTTTCAAAGTTTTTGAACATAACAGACTGTTCTTTGGACATTCTTTAATATGGGTTTTTGTTCTCAGTGGTCAGGCCATTTGACTTAATGTATATGCACAGAGATGTTGTTCCTTCGATCTCTCCTTCACCTTGATCAGCTTCCTTCCCTGCCAGTAGAAGATATAGTCTATTCCAAGTGCCTGATTCTTGCAGGCATGTTTCTTGCAGAAGTTTGGCAATCATCATGTTTCCAACATTCCATCATCCCAACCCAAGGGCTGTCTCGTCTGGTTCAAGATTTATAACCGATTTGTCTTGCTGGTCAGACCCTAATCTCTTTTCATCCACTAGAACATGCACCAAGTAGAGCCGGGGGCTGTGGTAGGACAGCATCTTCCTGAGTGAAGCTTGCCTGGGTTGAAGAAGGCAGGTGGGCGATGATAGGGCAAGACAAAAGTCAGTACTTGTCATTATCAGAGGCATCACAGGACCCTGTAGCCTTTCACATGAATGGGTAGTCTCCATGCAGCAGGGGTTTGGGTTGAGAGTTTTCCTAGAAGAGCAAAAAGCCGAGACTGCTAAGCACTGATCCTATTGGAAGCATTTTGTTTTGAGGCACCCCGAGATGTCACTCTCCTGACTTCTGTGAGTAAGAACAATTCCTCAGTGTAAAGGCCAGGTGCTATACTTGACTGTCAGTGGCTGGTAGAAGAACACACTGTTGGGAGCTTTCCTCAAAAACTCACCAGCTTTAACAGTTTCACACAGATAACACTTTAATAGGAGCAATTTTTAATAAATATTTGACTTCTTGATGTTTCAATACACATTGCATGTAGGAAAATGGCACATTATTGTTTTCTCTAGGATGTGAGGCTCATGTATTCTAGTCTTTAGTCAAACAAAAGCTTGATTATTTTTTAGAAATCCTTGAACCCCTTGAAAATGAGATTTTTGCTTCCCTACAATTAGCAAATACCCTACATCATGTTTGTTGTACAGTTTAACCTCATTGAAAATCCTTATGGTCAAGTTACCTGAGGGGAATACCATCATACCAGGAGCTCTCTCCGTACGATGCCAGTTGAACTGCAGACCGTAAACTGTACCGCATTTGTGTTAGACATTTTGATATATGCCTCCTTTTGAAGAAGTTATCTCAACAGGTTAACACCAATATCAGCTGTTTCTTGGACAAGTTGGTTAGAAGTGTTTTAATTGTTTGTTGTAACTGTTAATTGTGATATTTTTCAGTGAAATCTTTAGGTCCAGAACTAACTGGCTTCTATGAGTTCATGACTGCACCAGCTCAGAAGGTGAGTTTGTCACCTACATTGTCCTCCTTCATCACATGTTGTTTCCCTGACAGTTCTGGTTATACAGGTAGAAAGTAGATCTAATCCTGTATTGATGGTTTTCACTGTCAGATATTGGACCGCTGGTTTGAATCGGAGCCTCTGAAGGCAACACTGGCCACAGATTCTGTCATAGGGGCGATGTTGACACCAGAGTCTCCAGGCAGTGGGTGAGATTTCCTTTTTCCCTCAAAATGTTGGTATCAAAGCTGGCTGGAGTTTGTCAGTGTTTGTTTTAAGCAGATCAAGTTAAGACCCAACTGTAGAACGATGGGGTTGGACACAAACATCACATACACATTTGTCTGGACTATAAGATCAAATTGTGCAGTAAATGAATATGATCAGCAGCTCAGTTTGAACTAGAGGTTCATCTAGAGTAGCTTGATCTAGTCGTTTTGGCCCATTTCCTGTTCATCATGGAATTACATGTTTTTTGCCATATGTTGTCATGTTCCAGGTTCCTGATGTTATGAGATATCTGTGTTGACAGTTACGTGCTTCTCCACCATGTTATGGGGGAGCTGGAGGGCATCAAGGGAGCCTGGGGCTACGTCGAGGGAGGGATGGGAGGTGTGTCTCAGGCCATAGCCAACTGTGCCACCGACCATGGTGCCAGCATCTTCTGTGATAGAGTGAGTACAGATGACCAGGGGAGGGATGGGAGGTGTGTCTCAGGCCATAGCCAACTGTGCCACAGACCATGGTGTCAGCATCTTCTGTGACAGAGTGAGTACAGATGACCAGGGGAGGGATGGGAGGTGTGTCTCGGGCCATAGATAACTGTGCCACCGACCATGGTGCCAGCATCTTCTGTGATAGAGTGAGTCGAGATGACGTGGGGAGGGATGGGAGGTGTGTCTCAGGCCATAGATAACTGTGCCACCGACCATGGTGCCAGCATCTTCTGTGACAGAGTGAGTACAGATGACCAGGGAGGGATGGGAGGTGTGTCTCAGGCCATAGATAACTGTGCCACCAACCATGGTGCCAGCACCTTCTGTGACAGAGTGAGTACAGATGACCAGGGAGGGATGGGAGGTGTGTCTCAGGCCATAGATAACTGTGCCACAGACCATGGTGCCAGCATCTTCTGTGACAGAGTGAGTACAGATGACCAGGGGAGGGATGGGAGGTGTGTCTCGGGCCATAGATAACTGTGCCACCAACCATGGTGCCAGCATCTTCTGTGACAGAGTGAGTACAGATGACCAGGGAGGGATGGGAGGAGTGCAGATGTGTCTGGGAGGCCATAGATAACTGTGCCACCGACCATGGTGCCAGCATCTTCTGTGACAGAGTGAGTACAGATGACCAACAGGGATGGGAGGTGTGTCTCGGGCCATAGATAACTGTGCCACCGACCATGGTGCCAGCATCTTCTGTGACAGAGTGAGTACAGATGACCAGGGGAGGGATGGGAGGTGTGTCTCAGGCCATAGATAACTGTGCCACCGACCATGGTGCCAGCATCTTCTGTGACAGAGTGAGTACAGATGACTAGGGGAGGGATGGGAGGTGTGTCTCGGGCCATAGATAACTGTGCCACCAACCATGGTGCCAGCATCTTCTGTGACAGAGTGAGTACAGATGACCAGGGGAGGGATGGGAGGTGTGTCTCAGGCCATAGATAACTGTGCCACCGACCATGGTGCCAGCATCTTCTGTGACAGAGTGAGTACAGATGACTAGACCGAGGAGGATGGGAGGTGTGTCTCAGGCCATAGCCAACTGTGCCACCGACCATGGTGCCAGCATCTTCTGTGACAGAGTGAGTACAGATGACCAGGGGAGGGATGGGAGGTGTGTCTCAGGCCATAGATAACTGTGCCACCAACCATGGTGCCAGCATCTTCTGTGACAGAGTGAGTACAGATGACCAGGGGAGGGATGGGAGGTGTGTCTCAGGCCATAGATAACTGTGCCACCGACCATGGTGCCAGCATCTTCTGTGACAGAGTGAGTACAGATGACCAGGGAGGGATGGGAGGTGTGTCTCAGGCCATAGATAACTGTGCCACCGACCATGGTGCCAGCATCTTCTGTGACAGAGTGAGTACAGATGACCAGGGGAGGGATGGGAGGTGTGTCTCAGGCCATAGATAACTGTGCCACCAACCATGGTGCCAGCATCTTCTGTGACAGAGTGAGTACAGATGACCAGGGAGGGATGGGAGGTGTGTCTCAGGCCATAGATAACTGTGCCACCGACCATGGTGCCAGCATCTTCTGTGACAGAGTGAGTACAGATGACCAGGGAGGGATGGGAGGTGTGTCTCAGGCCATAGATAACTGTGCCACCAACCATGGTGCCAGCATCTTCTGTGACAGAGTGAGAGTACAGATGATGACCAGAGGGAGGGAGGGATGGGAGGTGTGTCTCAGGCCATAGATAACTGTGCCACCACCATGGTGCCAGCATCTTCTGTGACAGAGTGAGTACAGATGACCAGGGGAGGGATGGGAGGTGTGTCTCAGGCCATAGATAACTGTGCCACCGACCATGGTGCCAGCATCTTCTGTGACAGAGTGAGTACAGATGACGTGGGGAGGGATGGGAGGTGTGTCTCAGGCCATAGATAACTGTGCCACCGACCATGGTGCCAGCATCTTCTGTGACAGAGTGAGTACAGATGATCAGATCAGGGGAGGGATGGGAGGTGTGTCTCAGGCCATAGATAACTGTGCCACCGACCATGGTGCCAGCATCTTCTGTGACAGAGTGAGTACAGATGACCAGGGAGGGATGGGAGGTGTGTCTCAGGCCATAGATAACTGTGCCACCGACCATGGTGCCAGCATCTTCTGTGACAGAGTGAGTACAGATGACCAGGGGAGGGATGGGAGGTGTGTCTCAGGCCATAGATAACTGTGCCACCGACCATGGTGCCAGCATCTTCTGTGACAGAGTGAGTACAGATGACCAGGGAGGGATGGGAGGTGTGTCTCAGGCCATAGATAACTGTGCCACCGACCATGGTGCCAGCATCTTCTGTGATAGAGTGAGTACAGATGACCAGGGAGGGATGGGAGGTGTGTCTCAGGCCATAGATAACTGTGCCACCGACCATGGTGCTGGCATCTTCTGTGACAGAGTGAGTACAGATGACCACAGGGATGGGAGGTGTGTCTCGGGCCATAGATAACTGTGCCACCAACCATGGTGCCAGCATCTTCTGTGACAGAGTGAGTACAGATGACCAGGGGAGGGATGGGAGGTGTGTCTCAGGCCATAGATAACTGTGCCACCGACCATGGTGCCAGCATCTTCTGTGACAGAGTGAGTACAGATGACAACAGGGATGGGAGGTGTGTCTCGGGCCATAGATAACTGTGCCACCGACCATGGTGCCAGCATCTTCTGTGACAGAGTGAGTACAGATGACCAGGGGAGGGATGGGAGGTGTGTCTCAGGCCATAGATAACTGTGCCACCGACCATGGTGCCAGCATCCTCTGTGACAGAGTGAGTACAGATGACGTTGGGAGGGATGGGAGGTGTGTCTCGGGCCATAGATAACTGTGCCACCAACCAGGTGCAAGCATCTTCTGTGACAGAGTGAGTACAGATGACCAGGGGAGGGATGGGAGGTGTGTCTCAGGCCATAGCCAACTGTGCCACCGACCATGGTGCCAGCATCTTCTGTGATAGAGTGAGTACAGATGACTAGAGGAGGGATGGGAGGTGTGTCTCAGAACATAGCCAACTGTGCCACCGACCATGGTGCCAGCAACTTCTGTGACAGAGTGAGTACAGATGACCAGGGGAGGGATGGGAGGTGTGTCTCAGGCCATAGATAACTGTGCCACCAACCATGGTGCCAGCATCTTCTGTGACAGAGTGAGTACAGATGACTAGGGGAGGGATGGGAGGTGTGTCTCAGGCCATAGATAACTGTGCCACCGACCATGGTGCCAGCATCTTCTGTGACAGAGTGAGTACAGATGACCAGGGGAGGGATGGGAGGTGTGTCTCAGGCCATAGATAACTGTGCCACCGACCATGGTGCAAGCATCTTCTGTGACAGAGTGAGTACAGATGACCAGGGGAGGGATGGGAGGTGTGTCTCAGGCCATAGATAACTGTGCCACCAACCATGGTGCCAGCATCTTCTGTGACAGAGTGAGTCGAGATGACCAGGGGAGGGATGGGAGGTGTGTCTCAGGCCATAGATAACTGTGCCACCGACCATGGTGCCAGCATCTTCTGTGACAGAGTGAGTACAGATGACGTGGGGAGGGATGGGAGGTGTGTCTCAGGCCATAGATAACTGTGCCACCAACCATGGTGCCAGCATCTTCTGTGACAGAGTGAGTACAGATGACCAGATCAGGGATGGGAGGGTGTGTCTCAGGCCATAGATAACTGTGCCACCGACCATGGTGCCAGCATCTTCTGTGACAGAGTGAGTACAGATGACCAGGGGAGGGATGGGAGGTGTGTTTCAGGCCATAGATATCTGTGCCACCGACCATGGTGCCAGCATCTTCTCTGACAGAGTGAGTACAGATGACGTGGGAGGGAGGGATGGGAGATGTGTCTCAGGCCATAGATAACTGTGCCACCGACCATGGTGCCAGCATCTTCTGTGACAGAGTGAGTACAGATGATCAGATCAGGGAGGGATGGGAGGTGTGTCTCAGGCCATAGATAACTGTGCCACCGACCATGGTGCCAGCATCTTCTTTGATAGAGTGAGTACAGATGACCAGGGGAGGGATGGGAGGTGTGTCTCAGGCCATAGATAACTAACTGTGCCACCAGATGACCATGGTGCCAGCATCTTGATAGAGACAGAGTGAGTACAGATGACCAGGGGAGGGATGGGAGGTGTGTCTCAGGCCATAGATAACTGTGCCACCGACCATGGTGCCAGCATCTTCTGTGATAGAGTGAGTCGAGATGACTGGAGGGGATGGGAGGTGTGTCTCAGGGCCATAGATAACTGTGCCACCGACCATGGTGCCAGCATCTTCTGTGACAGAGTGAGTACAGATGACCAGGGGAGGGATGGGAGGTGTGTGTCTCAGGCCATAGATAACTGTGCCACCGACCATGGTGCCAGCATCTTCTGTGACAGAGTGAGTACAGATGACCAGGGGAGGGATGGGAGGTGTGTCTCAGGCCATAGATAACTGTGCCACAGACCATGGTGCCAGCATCTTCTGTGACAGAGTGAGTACAGATGACCAGGGGAGGGATGGGAGGTGTGTCTCAGGCCATAGATAACTGTGCCACCGACCATGGTGCCAGCATCTTCTGTGACAGAGTGAGTACAGATGACTAGGGGAGGGATGGGAGGTGTGTCTCAGGCCATAGATAACTGTGCCACCGACCATGGTGCCAGCATCTTCTGTGACAGAGTGAGTACAGATGACCAGGGGAGGGATGGGAGGTGTGTCTCAGGCCATAGCCAACTGTGCCACAGACCATGGTGTCAGCATCTTCTGTGACAGAGTGAGTACAGATGACCAGGGGAGGGATGGGAGGTGTGTCTCAGGCCATAGATAACTGTGCCACCGACCATGGTGCCAGCATCTTCTGTGACAGAGTGAGTACAGATGACCAGGGGAGGATGGGAGGTGTGTCTCAGGCCATAGATAACTGTGCCACCAACCATGGTGCCAGCATCTTC